TAAAGGTATCAAATCAAATTCCATACATTTTCCCTAAATGGTTCTCCAGTTGTCTTAATGAGGACCCAAGCATTTTCAGGTTCAAGGCTGGGAGCCCATATATTTGTGAAGGGCCTTTTCACATCCAGGTGGCTTTGGTATCATCACTGCGCTTCCCCAGTGGTGCTGATTTGGTTGTAAGTAATAGAAGGGGTGCGGTAAGAATCACCAAAGCAGGTTGCTGCTGTGAGGGAGCCATCTTTATGGTTTGTTTTTTAAAAGTTTTGTTTGCTTGTTATACAGCTTACATCAAGGAAATTATATAGAATGAATGAGCAAGCTCTGGGAACAACAAGCTCTCTAGTTTCTCCTCACTTTTCCAAATGCCAACAGATCTTCCTGGAGGACTGGCACATGGCAGTCACTCCATAGCTGGACATGACTCACAATCCTACAGGTTTCCAGTGGTCCTTCAGAGGCAAAGCTTTGAAAAGGTTGAATTATAATTTGGGGTCTGTAAATAGCCGATGATACTAAGAAGATGGATCACTTCCTGCCAAATCAAAGAGGAAGGCTATTATTCCTTTTATTTGGGGTGGGGAAAGCACTTTGCCCTATCACAAATCTGTTTTTGCAGTTCACAAAGTCAGTCTTATCTTATTTGCAGAGTATTTTTAAATTTAAGTGTTTTTGTCATCATTAGATTTCATAAGGGCTGCTTGAGGCAGAGGGTGTTTCCTTCACCACAAAGAAAAGGAAGCCTGAGGAGGTTGTGGGATTGATCATCATGGAGCTAGTTAGTGCCAGAGCTGGATGAAAACCCAAGCCCTTTCAATAGTTCTCAAAGTTCTCTGTGCAGGCAGATCACCAGGGGGATGATCCGTAAAGATGGAGATTCAGTGGGCCTTGGGTGGGGTGGCAGATACTGTATTTCTAACAGGCTTCCAGGACTCTGCTGGTCCCAGGACGATACTCTGAGCAGATTAGCCCAGGTTAGGCATTGAATTTCACTGGTCAGCTTTCCTTGTGTGTACTTGGCACCATATGGATTTCCACAGCATGTTTTGCAAAAGAAATGTTTCTCGCTTCAAAACACATCTTAATACTGTTCTCATGCAAGAACAAGTGACTAAGATTTGGGGATGGATTTCATTTCCTGTGGTGCCTTCCTTCTCCTTATAATCCACTGGTAATTAACAGGTGGGTTGTACACTAGTGACTAGGGCTGGAGTTAGGTAAAAGCATGCTTTAATGCTCCCAATGTTTATATACCTTTATGATTTGGGCCTTATAAGAAATTATGTCTCAATTCCAGATGGATTTGTGCTCAGGAATCTGCAGTTGTGCATTTACTGGTGCATCAAATAGAGCAGGTTTCCTCTGGTCTCAAGGGGCTCCCGGTGCCAGGAGCTGAGCTGTGTGGCTCCTGTGCTCTGTGTGGCTCCACGGATGGTATTTTCCCACAAGGGTCTAGGGAGTGCCCCTTGCACAACATATGTGGCCTGGTTTGATAACCACACCACATTCTAAATGCTAGTCATGTGGTATGACCCTGCTGTGAGGGAATCTGTGAGGAGGAGCTGTCTTCCCAGGGCTAGGTCTGGTTTGAGAAATGTCCACAGGCCTGGTATGGAGAAGAGGCACCCGGGTGGTGTCCTGGCTTTCCTGAATCCTGGGATGGAGGTAGGCAGGGGCAGCTGACAACTCACAGGCACCCCTCTGCAGGGCAGGCACAGCTGTGCTTCTTTCCTGTAACTGGACTGACTGGTTGGTGAAGTGTTAGCTTCTTTGATAAAGCACTATTTGGTTTTCTCCATGACACCAGCTATGACTGTTCTAAATATGACTGAAGGACAAATATCACTCTGTTGAAATATTTCCAAATATCAAGCCTATCCTGTGTGACTGTGCTTCGTGGGTAGAGAAACTGAATTTTGGTAATGAAGGCAGACATTAACCAGAGATCACTGGACTGGAAGTAATGGGTGACTGTTTTGCCAGGGTTAGAGGATTTACAAGACATGTTTCTTAAAGATTATTATTTTTATAAGGTTTTTTTTTTTTTTAGTTGTAGATGCATACCTTTATTTTATTTATTTTTATGCGGTGCTGAGAATTGAACCCAGTGCCTCATGCATGCTAGGCAAGTGCTCTACCACTGAGCTACAGCAACAGCCCCAAGATTATTTTATTATAAGGCATTCATTGCTCTTTTTATCACTCAACAATGTTGAGTTCCCACTATGTGTATAAAGCTCCATACTAGCCTTGGGGGTGGTCAGAGTAGAAAACAGTAAGAAAGAAAAAGACTTGGCCCCTCTCTATACTTGATCTGAGAAACTCAGAAACAAAACAATTCAATATGGTCTAAGTGCTAACTGCCCAGTCATCAATCCCCAAGTGCATCTGGTTTCTAGAGGAAAAAGAAACTTTACAGAGGAAGTGAAATGAAAGCTGGGTCTGAAAAGACAGGTAGAACTTTAATGTGGGAGAATGAGCAGAAACATTTTCAAAAGTATTGGAAACTGTGCAATGAGGGGAAACTGGGGACAAGGCTGAAAACGCAGGTTCAGCCACGCGGTGGAGAGCCCTGAAAACCAGACTCTTTCAGATTTCACCTCTATGAAAAACCCACAGGGCCTCATGAGATTAATACACAAGGTAAAAGGAGCCCTGTTTCCTCAGGTGCTGGGGATGTGACCTAGGGCCGTGCACAGCCCAGGTGAGCTCTCTACCTCTGAGGCACATCCTTACCATACTGAAAAGCCAGTTTGGTTTTTCTAATTTTTGTTGTGTTACTGGCACTGGTGGGAGAAAGATTAACTTTTCTTGACTGTCTGTCATTTCCTCAGATATAAAGAGGCCAATGAAGATCATATCTAGAGCTTCTAAATAAATTATTCTAGTTCTAAATCAATTATTCTCATCTTCCTGCTGGACCAACAGTGAGAAAATGCCCGTTCCTAGTTTATCTACTGACTATGAAACAATCTTGTAAAATTCTTTTTATAAGTTTCACAAATATGCTTTTTTAAAAAATTCTTTTCATGTTTCATAGATTTTTTTTTTTTAAATTAGAGCTTTATAGCAATACATAGCAGTTGGGTGAAACCATTGTAATTACTTAAATTTATAGATTTAGTTCTATCTGCATTCCAAAATAGAAACACACTGAACCTTTGGTATCAAAAGTATCTTTGGAGAACACTTGTTACATTTCTTGAACTACTAGACTACCTAATCATTATTTTTAAAAATAAGTTTATTGTAGGATTATTCTTAAACACCACAGATAAAAAAATTAAAAACAAAATACAAAATAATTCTTAAAGACATAAACCTTACTAATTTGATCTTTGATTTTTCTGCTATACAAGAAACACCAATAGTAACTGTCACTTAAATTCACTCTCAAAAGAAATTGCACCCAAAGGATCAGATAGGGAGCGAAAGGGGAAGTGCTGAGGAGTGATATTGGCCAAACTATGTTATACTGTGTGCATGTACAAACATGTAACAATAAATCCCACCATTATGTAACCATAAGGTACCAATAAAAATAGTGGAAAAATGAAAAAAAAAATTCACCCATTAAAGGATAAATTTTTGATTAGCAACCTGAAAAAATATAATTTTTCTAAAAGCAGAAGCAAAGTGCTCATGAAAACAGAAGTGCTATGTACATTTTGCAATTTCTGACTTCTTCAGCGAGTCAAGAAACCTCAGTTCTGTTTCTGCTCCCCAATAACTCTGTGACGGCAAGATCATTTATCTTTTCCTTTGAAATATGTACAATTATTCTTATGCTTTCTGTTATCTGCTCCCCTCCACAAGATTGAAAGATACTTGAATATTGGGACTCTATTCACAGCTCTATCTAGATATAGCATGTTACTGAGTATTCACTGAAAAAATTATATTTTATCTGTAAGTTAAAGCGGTTCAACTAAATTCTCCATGTCCTGTTTCTGTGAAATGTATGAATTTAATTTGAATTATCAAAGCTCAGTTAAAAATTTCCTTTCAGTTTTTTAGCCTTTTACTGCTCTTAATATTCCTTCCCAGTATGGACGTGTCCTAATTCCACTTGAAGATAAAGTAATTGAATTGTCTAGAGTGGAACTGCATTTAACAGGAAAAGCTCTAAGAGAGTGACAGAACTTGTTGTTTAAGTCAACTCCTGAAGTTAAAGTCAAAAACAATTTTAAAAAATCTAACTAAAAAAGTAGGTAAAGTCAAATCAAACCTAAGAACAATTTCTAAATGGAGAATCTGATGATATTCTAAATTTTCAGATGCTAAAGCACATGGGAATTTTGTTAGTGGATCTACTACTGAGCCCTACAATAGAGCTGTGCCTGTTAGTCCTTTGGGCCAACAGAACCCAAGTAACCTCAGTGAGAATTCACGGCTCTGCGGGTGAATGTACGTGTACATCTTTAATGTTAGTTAAAATCTGGTACGTGCACCCTGTTACACTGAGAATCTTATTTTGGAAGCCCATTTAGTTTGAGCAACATTATCTATAACCTAACAGATGCAATGAAATAACTTAACTCCTGAAGTATTAGAGCAAAAATCAGAGTAAATAGATGGGGACAATCCCAAGTAAGCACTTATTCTCAAGTTGTGCTCAACATCAGATGATCTGTAAAATTGAACTGAGAAAGGAGATCAAAGAATTGTACTTTTTCCTTGAATCAGACTTGGGTAATGAAATGAAAATACCCTAAGTAGAAAAAGTTCTTAATTCATTTTACTTCTTATATATTTTTCTTTTTAGTCACTTTAAAAAAATACTTTAATTAACAAATTAATTAATTTATGTGGTACTGAGAACCCAACCCAGTACCTCACACATGCTAGGCAAACACTTTACCACTGAGCCACAACCCCAGCCCGCTAGCCCCTTCTTACAAATCTTATATCTGTGCCTCTCGGTATTATTCTTTTAACTTAAATGTAAGATAATACACTCAGATAAGAACTCTGTAAAATCATTTTCTTTGAGAAGAAAAGCATCAAATATTCAGGGAACTTTATTTTTAAACGATAAATCAAATAGACACAGCTTTCATTTACCCAAACATGCATAATCCAACCTGAATATAAAACGCACTCAATTGGCAAATTACACATGAAATACAAAGGGAATGCAATTTTACATATGTGAAATGATTGCCAGCTATAGCAACTTAACAAATTAAAATTGTTGTACATTAAAAAACAAAAACAAAAACCACCTTAAAGCCAATTATCTATAGTAAACCAAGGGCAAGTTTGATATGGAATGATTTGATTCAAGCAAAGAGTAAGGCACCTGCTATGAATTTAGAGCAATAATTTTCATTTTTAAAGTTACAATAAAATAGAATTAGGTAACCAAGACTTGTTTCAAAGAGGAAAACAAGTATAGGGATTGATTTACTGGGTGAGAAAGGCAGGTAAAGTTCAGCTAAAAACCTGCTGGCCCAAGGTTGGCCAATTCCTCTCCTAGGGGAGCAGTTAAGTTCCTAGATGCCCTTAACCACTCCTCCCCTTTACTCTCCTCCTTCCATGAGGGTATGTCGGGAGTCCCCTATGAGGTTCGCACTGTGTATATATTAGGTAGCAGATTTCCCTTCTGTTCCTCTTAAAACAGCTTATTTTAAAAGAGATATCCTGAGGCGATTAACAAAACATAAGCAGCCTTCTACCAATTCATTAGTACACACACGCTGCTCAGGCTTTTTGCACCAAGTTATGGCTAAGTAGAGCCAACACTTGCAGTTTTCAACAGTACTAGAAAACACAGAATCTGCCTTATCACCCTCACTATTAATAAGAAAATCTGATCAATCATGACCTATAAAATCATATAAGGGAAGACTGAAGACTGATCCTTATCAGTAAACCCATTTAATTTCAAATGCCACTATACACTGATATATCTAGTACCCATCCTAAGGGCATTTTAATTATAAACCTAGAAAAAACGCTTTCAAACCTTAAGTGGAACTTATTAGTTGATGTGCCTTTTTTGGTATTAAAAAGTGCTATAGATATGCTAAGATGTCTTATGGCACTCTGGACTCAATGGTAGGTCTTGATGATACATAGATTTCTAGTAGCATTTTTCCTTAAAATTTTGTCTAACATAGTAAACTCCTTTGATATATTAAAATAATCCTGGTGAAATCAATGTGACATAAACCTTCCCTGACTTCACTCCACCATGGTAATTTTTAGTGAAACCTCAGTGACTGATTAAGTTACAAAATGCTTTATTTTTTTTCCCCTAAAAATGGGATCTTACATTATGCTCACTCATGCAAAATCCAAGGTAGTGTAATAGAAACAAATTCATGAAAATAGATGTGGCTTATATATAAGCATCTCTGCTTGTATTATGCATTCAGAAGCTTTTCAAAATTTTTGAATGCTAATTGTTATGGTAAAACTAGGCTGTGTTCCATTTATAAGCACCTTATTACAGGACAGTTACATGACCCTATAATGGAGTGTGCTTTTGACTCAAGAGTAATAAAGTGCCTAGCTATATAAAAACCTCAAGATTCCAAATTTTAAATTAAGCTGACTACACTTTACATGTTAGAGTTAACAAAATCTAGACTCTGTCTACACAGATTTAATCTAATTATTCATACTGCATACTGTTTTAACAACCACATTAAAAAAAAAAAACTTACACTTTACTAAGTAGGGTCCACTACTATAGTTTAACAATCAAATTTTATTGCTTTATTCATGTGGTGCTTTTTGCAAGGCACTGTGGTATGAACTAGAAAACCTGGAATGACTCGTGATAAACCTTGGAATGACACATGAAGGATGCTATGAAAGTCATTCTGAGGCAGGATGCTTTACTGAATCGGTTTTAACCAGGGTATCAAACATCAGGAATGAGTTCAAGTTAAAATTCACAGGAGAATGGAAACATCTTAAGGTGAGTGACTTCACATGCCCATCCTGATACTCTGAATAATCTGGAAAATTGCTGTGAAGAGAAAGAACAAATGTTAAAACAAGCTTTGAATAAAATACATCTAGCAACTGCAAAATTACCTATTAAGGTAGTTAAGAATCTGAGATTACTCTTACAATCATTTGCAAAAGCCATCTAGCTTCACTGTAAGAAGACAGGCCTATCTTAACAAATAAAACAATTAAATGCTCATAAAGTTTTATTATTTTCCAGTGCTAGGAAATGAACTGAAGGCCTCCCACCTGCTAGGCAGATGATCTACCTCGAAGCAACATTCCCAAATCAAGTTATATTTTATTTTATTTTTATTTTTATAAAGAAAGAGGGAGAGAGAGAATTCTAACATTTTATTTTATTTTTTTAGTTCTTGGCGGACACAACGTCTTCGTTTGTATGTGGTGCTGAGGGTCGAACCCAGGCCGCACGCATGCCAGGCGAGCGCGCTACTGCTTGAGCCACATCCCCAGCCCCTCAAGTTATTTTTTAAATCCTAGCTTCCCTAAATTTTATGTTAAGTGTCCAAATGAGCCTGCACATATAGGAAATCATTTTAGAAAGAACTTAAAGCCAGCCTGGGAAGCTGAGGCAGGAAGACTGTGAGTTCAAAGCCAGCCTCATCAAAAGCAAGGCGCTGAGCAAATCAGTGAGACCCTCTTTTAAAAGGGCTAGGGATGTGGCTCAGTGGTCGAGTGCCCCTGAATTCAATCCATGGTACCAAAAAAATAAGTAAATAAAAATAAAAAGAACTTAAAACACCAGCGTACACAGGTTTTTCTAGATAGATTGATTTTGGCTTATTCCTAAATAATTAAGCATCCTTTAAAGCCCTGGCCAATAACATATGCATGTTTCCTCATTCTCACAAAGCTGAAATTCAATCATCTTTGGGTTATATAAACTGCTTGGCTCTCAGCCATTTATCAGGAAAGCTTCCAATTGGTAGGTTTAGGAGAAAGGCAAAGCAAAATGTTAAACAGAAATCTCAGAAACATTAGAATGTGGAAAACAGAATCATTTACCTCAATATGAACAGTGGGCATAATAAGGTAATAAATGAAAAAGGCCATTCTGTAACTCATTTGCGGAGGCAAGTGCCTATTACTCTAACAGCAGGCTGCCCTGGTAACTAATCTTTCTTGCCATATGTCAAACGTTCCTTTTATTAACATAAAAACACTTGTCTCACCAATTAAATTGCAAAGCGGGTACATGTTCTCTACACAGAAACACGTCTCTGGATTAGCTTTACTTTCATAAAACGTGCCACCTTTTGGACATAAGATTCTGATATGGTCAAATCAAGTCCTAACACCAGGAGTGCACGTCGGGAAGTCTCTCTGCAAGTGACAATGAAATCGCACACAGTCCAAGTTCTTCTGTGCGCGCTTCTTTTTGTTTAGCCTTAAATGTCCGCCAGCCTGACCATCACCACGGACCTGGCCTCTGGTCTCCGAGCATCGACGGAGCGCGGAGAAGTCGCGGGCACTCCGCTGGGCGCCGCCGCGGGCCAGGAACCGGGGTGGGAGCTGGGCGGCCTCGAGCCCTCCCCCCAACGGCAGGCCGCCCCGCACCTACCGGAGCCGCAGACGACGAAGATGAAGAGCGCCAGCAGCCAGGGTCCCACCGACGCCTTCTCCTCGGGGGCGTTTCTCTGCAAAGGGAAACCCGGTCAGAGGCGCCGCCGGCCGGGTGCCGTGGGCCGAGCCCGCCCGCCCCGGCCCGCTCTCCCCCGGCCCGCTCTCCCCGGCCCGCTCTCCCCCGGCCCCAGCCCCCTCCCCAGCCCGCTCCCGCCCCGTCCCCGGCCGGCCCCCGCCCAGCTCACCGAGGTCTTGGCGACGTTGCCGCGCTGCGTGATGTTCTTGCTGTGCTTCTCGTTGGCCATCCGGATCCGCTGCTTGGCAACCATCTTCGCGGCGCCGCCTCCGCCCGGCCGCCCCTCGGCCTCGCTCGCTCGCCTCCCGGGCCGCTGTGAGGCTCGGCTCCCGGAGCCCGCGCCGCCGCGGGCAGGAGGCGCTCGGGACGGGCGCCGGCGGCGGCCGCTGGATCTGGGCGCGACGAGCGCCGGGCGCGAGCTGACGGCGTCGGGTCGGCGGGTCGGGCCAGCAGGGCGCGCGGGAGCACGGAGCGGGCCGCCGGGAGCGTGGAGAGAAAGAGGAAGCAGACGCAACAACCGGACGGTGCAGCCCGCGGCCTCGAACTACTTCGGGTTCGGCTGCCAACGTCAGCACTGGGCGGGCTCCGCCCCGCGGAAGTGCGGACTCCGCCCTCGGGAGACTGAGGGCGAGCGCCGGCGCGGCCGGCCCTTCACGCTCAAGCAGGAGGTGTCGCTGAGCTGCGCGTGCGCGCCCCGACGCCGGAAGTGAGTCGGCCCCGAGGCTGGCGGCCCCGGAAGCACTCGCTCACAGCCTCCACGCCTGGGGAGACGTGTAGGGGCCGGGTTCGGCCCTCGTTGAACTCTCACCCCAGCGCACGGGTTTCTTTTTCCGGGACAAGATGGCGCCTTCCACGCCTCTGTTGACAGGTGAGTTCCGAACTAGCGCGGGACTCCTTTTCTCGGGCGTGGTCTGTCTGTGTCTTTGCTCTGGAGAGCCAGCCGGCGGTCCCTGGAGTCCGACCCGCGCTTTCTCATGGCTTGCGGAGTGCCTGGCCCGTCACCCGGGCTTATTGGTCCACCGCGTGGCAGTCGGAAGTCAGGCCCTTGTCGCTGGTGTCCCCCTCCCAGCTGCCGTCCGCCCTCCTCCCTGCGCTCCTGCCGCTTCAGCAGCGGGAGCGGCACTCGGCGCGCTTGATGCGGGCTGCAGTGCTGCTGTTGCGGGCACCGCGTTCGGAGACGAGCCTTGAGCCCCCGGGGCCCGCGGAGCTCCGACGGCGCGCTCCTGGCCCTGGTGGGGCTGCGGCCAGGGGCCCGTGTCGCTCGCGCTCCTCGAGGCTCCTACCTGTGCGCGATGGAGACCTCTGGCCGACATGACGTGGAGACAGTTGTGGACGTTTTGGAAGTAGAATGTTACACGGCTCCTGGGGTTTTGAAGCTGAACTCGTTTGTACTGTTGAAGATGAGGTTTCGGACAGTGCTGGGCGGGACTCGATGTCAATGTGAAGGAGAGGGCGTGGGAAGGGGAACAGGTCTTCAGTCGTGGTCACCATGTAGCAGGAAAGGAGAAGGCGTGAAGACAAGAGTCTGCTCTGGAGAAGGAACCAAAGGGAGCCATAAAATGCTTTTGCTCTGCTGGACGCAATGCTGCACACCTGCAATCCCAGCGACCCCAGGGCCTACGCAGGAGGATTGCATGTTTGAGGCCAGCCTCAGCAACCTAGCAAGACGCAGTGTCAACACCAACAAAAGGAAAACAAAACAAACAAACAAAACAAAGAAAAAGCTTTTGCACTTATTGACATTCTTGCCATTCAGCATTTTAATTTTAAGATCCATGCCCACTCCTGTACAATGGAGTACCACAATTCATTCACCCAACGTTTATCAAATGCTGACTATAGTCTGATAGATAAAATGCTGGGCTGAGACTATTTAAATGGCATAATTACGTAATTAAATGATTTCCCTAGCCTCACAAACCTAACTGTATAATTTTTGAATACTATAAATGGCTATTTGAACTCTAGTTAAAAATTAGTGGATTTTAAATCTGTAAAAAGTGGTACCTCACTTCTTACAATCTATTCTTCAGCTTAGGACTATTTTGACCTTTTTGTTGATTTGGCAAACCTCTTTTCATCTATTAAAGTTAGTTTCAGATATCATTGCTCTGTAAAAGCCTTTCCCTTTGTTCCCATATAGTCAGTCACTCCCTGAACTATTTCTGAACTCCATGTGTACTTATTATTTTTTTTTCACTTTTTGCATAGGATAATTATCCAGTTGTGCTAGACCCTTAGTTTCTTTTTTTTTGTTTGTTTTTTGGGTGTGGAGGATTTGAACAAAAGGGCAGTAGACCACTGAGCCACATCCCTGCCCTATTTTGTATTTTATTTAGAGACAGGGTCTTACTGAGTTGCTTACTGCCTCCCCTGTTGCTGAGGCTGGGTTTGAACTTGGGATCCTCCTGCCTCAGCCTCCTGAGCTGCTGGGATGACAGGTGGGTGCCACTGTGCTTCTTGATGTTAAGAGCAGAGTATTATTAATTCCTGCCTTCTCAGTACCTAGAACTGAACCTGAAAAGCAATAGGCACTCTAAATGTGTAGTGGAGGAATAAATTAATGAAGGGTAGCTCGTTTATTTCTTGTCAAATTTACCAAGAATGACAGTTTTCTTACAATACCTATACGCAAGGATTTTGTAAGAGCTTAGAGATTATTGTTCAGTCTGTCTCTCATATGCTCATATTCTTGGAGGCCAGAGGTATTACTTCATCAGAGTCATACTGCGGATGGCAGAGTGACGATTTTATGCGCATTATTCCACTTCATGCTCCCTTTTCTGTCACTAAAACACACTGTTTAATATTGTAAACATTCTTAGTTGGGGTATTTCATTTAATAATAGATTTTTTTTTAACTTCCTAACTCTTTTGTTAAATTAGATTCATAGGATCTTAGAGCTGTGAATAATTTGGAGGTTATCCAGTAAATTTTATTAGTCAAAACTTTTAGTTGGAAATGACGAGAACCAAAAAAGAAAAAAAAGGGCAGGTGAGAAAGGGAGATTTTCAAAACTCACATAACCTAATAGCTTCCATACTACTGGATTCAGTTAGTCACATGACTCCAAAAAAATCTGTCTTCATCTGTAGGCTGGGTTCCTTCTGGATTCGTTTGTTCTCAGGCTGACATCAGCCAGCTTGGGCACCTCCAAAGGAAAGAGAATATTTTTGCCACTGATCCCAGCAAATCTAAAGGCTGCCATCTTTGGCTTGGCTTGTCTAGTCTCTTACTCGTCTTTGTATTAGTTTTTCATCAGAAGTCAGGACCAAATTGTATGCTCACCTGTATTAGTGTGGCCTAAAAAAGAGGGGCTTGGTGCTGGGTATGTAAAAATAACAACATCCATTACAAGAAATTCTTATTCTTTTTTTTTTTTTTTTTTTTAAGTTATACCTGGACACAACACCTTTATTTTACCGATGGATCGATTTTTTTGTGGTGCTGAGGATTGAACCCAGGACCTAGCATGTGCTAGGCAAGTGCTCTACCACTGAGCCACAACCCCAGCCCCCACAGTACAAGAAATTCTTTTGTGTGTGTGTGTGTGTGGTTCTGGGGATTGAACCCAGGGCCTTGTGCATGCGAGACAAGCACTCTACTAACTGAGCTAAATCCCCAGCCCCCTACAAGAAATTTTTTTTAAGAGAGAGAGAGAGAGAATTTTAATATTTACTTTTTTAGTTTTTGGCGGACACAACATCTTTGTTTGTATGTGGTGCTGAGGATCGAACCTGGGCCGCACGCATGCCAGACGAGCGCGCTACCGCTTGAGCCACATCCCCAGCCCCAAGAAATTCTTGATTTCTAAGCAACTTGCCTAGATGAGGTCATTGAAATAATTTACTTAAAATTGAGTCATTTTTCTAAATTGATATGTAGTTCAGCAAATATAACAGGTGGGAAAAGTATATTTTAAGAATCACCATATCCTTGACATATGACTGTGTTTGTTGAAGCCCGGTGTTTTTCTAATTCTAACTCAGGCCTAGAGTAATAAATTGTATGAGCCTCAAAAAGGCTAGTAAGCTTAGAAAAGATTATGTAGATACAATAGTTGTTGTAATTATTGTTTTTTAAACAGTTACTGTGTAAAACTCTAATATTTATTGTTTTAGAACTATTCCATTCTGTTTGCTGATCCTCTTTTACTAAAGATCACATCAAGTGTGAACATACGCTCTCAAGCTAGTTTCACATCTTGTTCACTGTTTCACCTTCAGATATTAACTCAAGTGATTTTTTATTAAAGTTTTGTGTAGAATAAAATTGTTGCAGTTATGGAAAAGTTTGTTTTGCATCCATATTTATTTTTGCTTTTATTAATTTGTGAAACAGTTTATGTTCTCCTATGAACTTGAATTTGTTTTTCCTAGTAAGTTTATGTATCCATTTATTCACATTTTTATAAGGAAATCATGCAAACTGGTTATTTAATCTAATAAAGTTTCTTATAGGTCCAAAATGTTAGGCTTCAATATAGCAAGATATGAAATAAACCTGTTGTTTTAAGTGGTTTATATGTATGAACAAAACTATGATAATCCAATATGATTTTTATTCTGAATTCTCCTGTGAAATATTATGTGCAAAGAATGCCTAGTTTAATGGTCATTGATAGATCATCAACTTCATAGTAGCTTTGGTTTGTATTGTTGTCTCATAGGATATGTTTTTACCTTTGTACAAAAATCTTGGTCTTTTTGATATGTGATTATAACTTTACAATTTTATCCAATATTTCCAACCAAAATCATTCTTGGGAATGTTGAAAAACTTTCATTTGATTTGTTTCCTTTTTTTGTTTGTTTGTGTATAACCAAAATGATGTTGCATTTTTTAAAAAGTTTTAAAAATTTGTATATAATTTAAGACTCAGAGAAGTTGTAAAAACAGTAGAGTTCTATGTACCTTTCACCCAGCTTTCTCCAGTGATAACCTGTATAACTGTAGTGAATTATCAAACCTAGAAATTTGGTACAATAGTATTTATTAAACAAAATTTCTTATTCAGATTTTGAGTGTGTGTGTAGTACTAAGAAATTTTATCATATATAAATTCATAGAACCACCACTGTCAGAATATAGAATTGTTCTGTCACCAGCAAGAAATTCCTGTGGTGCCCTTTATAGTGAAGTCCTTCTTCCAGCATTAATGCCTAACAGTCGTTGCTCTGTCCTTTGTCACTGTAGTTTTGTCATTTCGTGAATGTTGTATAAATACAATTATAGAAACATAATCTGGATTTTTGCTTTTAAAGTTGCGTTTATTTAGAATGTGAACATATGTATGTTGAAAAGCAGTTGATTAATTTGACTTATTATTTTGCATCTCCAGAAACATACCAAAACCCAAAATTGGAGACCCCATGAAATTTAGTTTCTTGAATGGGAAGGACATGTCACTCTCCACACTGGCACTAAAAATGTCATGTGTGCCTTCTAAGATTTGGGTGAATATTCTGCAAGGAAAATTGTGACTCAAGTGTTTTTTGTTTTTCTCACTACTCCATTGTGATTTTCTCCCTGTATTAGTTTGGGACATAGGTCTGAAAAACAAATTTTAGAAAAGGAAAACCTACTGGTTGCCCTGAATAGCCTGAGAGTTCCCGCTGCTATAGCCAGAAAGATAATCTTCATGAAATCCGGGGTGTAGATGCCACTTTAGTAATGGATAAGATCTTTGAATTTTCCCTCAAGTAAACATTATGTAACATCAAAATCATCAAATGACTACTAGTTACAATTACTACTAGAACACAGGAAGCCAAGATGAGCCGGGGAGAAGATTTTTGCTTTATCTTCTTTGCCCATCAGTTCAGGCCTGTGTTCTTGGTGTCAGTAGTTAGGGTCCTTAGAACATAATTTGATTTCATCAGCATTTTCTTTTTTTTTTTTTTTTAAATATTTATTTTTTTAGTTGTAGTTGGACACAATACCTTTATTTTATTTATTTTTATGTGGTGCAGAGGATTGAACCCAGGGCCTCGCATGTGCTATGCAAGTGCTCAACTGCTGAGCCATAACCCCAGCCCTCATCAGCATTTTCTAATTAACTGGGGCTACACTGACAATGTGCCATTTAGGCATCCTGGACCCACGTGTTAATTCTGAGAGAGTGCTCTTAACGTGTTAGGTTTTACTACAACTTATGAGAAGACCCTCATTATGCTGGCAAAATTGTATGTAGTATAGGAATAGGGTGTAATCTGATAATTATAAATTTTCTAATTTGAAAAATTCACTTTTGGTTAATTCCACCAATGTCTGTTAGAACTTCATTTATAGTATTAAGAAAATAATTGCCTATTCTCTTCTAAATCCTAATGTATCATATGAAATATTGCAGCAGATGATTGATTTAATAATGAAAAATAGCACTTCTTTGCTCATGTGGTGAGAAAATTTTAATGCTAAAGAACTAAACTTTAGGCTGGGAATGTATCTCCATGGTAGAGTGTGCTTAGCTTACCATGAGCAAGGCCCTGGGTTCAATCCTCAGTATCACCAAAAAATTAAAAATAAAAAAGTTCAAAAGTTTTAATGTTTTAAAATATAAAAAATAAAAGGAAGGAAGGAAGAAAAAAACAGTTCATAGTCTTTAAATTTAGGAAAACATTTTCTGGCACAAGATGTTGTATAAATTTTGACTGGTACAATAGTATTTATTAAACAAAATTCTTATTCAGATTTTGAGTGTGTGTGTAGTACTAAGAAATTTTGTGAATGTCATTTGAGAATTTTAGAATAAATATCTTAAGTGTATAATTAAAATTGTAGCAAGAGACCAAACTTTTTCTAAATCACTCTCTTGAAAGCAGTGATAGATTCTTACTTATTTTAACCCCTAGTGGTCAGCACATAGTACAGCTACGCAGGGGCCATGTCACAGACTAGGTACCAGACTCATAGGTACCGTGGTGGCGGGAGTTGGGTTCTGAAATATGAAGAGCACTTTGCTGGGCTCCGGTCTGTTCTAGTGCTGACTCACAGGGGCAGTTGTTTCCCAACACCTCTCAGTAGGGTGTTCCACACATGCAACAGTAGGGAGTCCAGCTCTGTGACTTGGAGGTGTCCTTGTTCAGTGCTCTGTGTATCATCTATTTACTTTCCCTCCATTAAGTTGGGAGCTCCATTAAGACATGGGTTTATTGTTGTTCATTAGTAGTTCTTTGGGACCATTGGATACCTGAAATTTGAGCTAATCACTAGGGAGAATATAATATTCTAATAACTTTGATTTGACTCTTCTCCAGAAGGGGGGGAAGGCAGTAGGAATCAGAACTGGAGCCAAGGCTGGCCCTAACTGTAACTCTGCTGCTTTCCCAGTAACCCAGAGAAGGCTGGGAGATGTCTGAATAGCTAGATGTAATGGTCGCCAGGGACTCGGTAACTATCTTTTCTTCAGCTTTTATACTGTTGCTGGTAGCAAGAATTCCAGGAAAGATACCAACTCATTCCCAATTCTGTTAGTTTTTTTCTCCTAACTATTGCATACCGAGGTGTCATCTGAACTGTCCCACCATGGTCTGGGTTTCCCTAATCTCCTGTGGGACTCAACAGAAGCATTTAAAATAGTTTCCCCATGTCCAGTCCACTCTTGATCCTTTCCTGTTCACTTTCTACAGTGTACTAGATTGACCTTTTCAAAATGCAAATCTAATTTTAATGATCCACCTAAACCTCTTGAGCATTTATTTATAGTTGTATATGGACAGAATGCCTTTAGTTTATTTATTTACTTTTATATGGTGCTGAGGATCAAACCCAGGGCCTCACATGTGCTAGGCAAGTGCTGTACCACAGAGCCCCAGCCCCAGCCCCAGCCCCTAGCATTCTTAAGATAAACCAACATTGCTGAGTTCAGTCTTCTTTGTGGTCTGAGCCCTGAGCCCTGTTTTCAGCTTCGACTTCTTCCAGCTGCTCGGGCCTTTGTCCCTTCCTCTGGTGTACTGCCTTTTCTCTGGCATGGGGGTTCTGTATGTGGCCTTGTTCTCCTTCCTGTTAACTGCTGTTCATCCTCCTGCTCCTAGCATCTAGGGACTAGCTCAAGAACACTTTCCCTGTCTTCTAGTTTGGGGGCAGAGCTCCCTGTCGTGCCCTCTGATACCATATGTTTTCCTTTGTAGTTCTCTGTCTGTGGAAATCATTTGCTCACTGTAGACTGAGTTCAATGAAGTCAGGCATGAGACAGGTTTTCCTCCCTCTTGTGTCTCCAGTACTCAACCCAGAGCCTGGGAAGGGGTTTTCCTTCTAGTAAACATCTGTTGAATGAATCAGTCTGTATATTTGAGTCAGCTTTAGATGCATCCAATTCAGCCCTTTTGAAAAATAGTTAGTTCTCCAAATGTTTTATTTGCTTATTTGTTTTTGAACTTTGTTCCCATTTAAATTTTTTATATATTCCTGTTATTGGGATTAGTGAATGAGTGTGTTTCATTCTACTTGTTCTTAGTTTGGGAGACTGCGAATAGATGAACAATAGTTTGTGTTCTAAGAACTTTAAACATGTACTACATTTTATGTTATTTTATATAAAGCATGTAGCTCCGCTGTATGCCAGTGTTTCTGTTTTATAGACGAGGCAGAGGTTCAGAGAGTGCCACATCCACAGGCTCCCAGCTGCTACACACCTGCTGCCTCTGAATTGATGGCTTTATGTCATGATGTGTACCCTTTTAATGATAACATTCTCTGGTACAGCTAAGTGTTTAATGATTTCCTTAATATCTTGAAAACTTTTGCTTTTTAAAAACATTTACAAATATAATCTACCCTTTATTAGCAAAGGGTAATGTGTTGGTTCTTTCATGTTCTTTAGTCCGAGGATCAGAAGGATTGTACATGGTGAATGGGCCGCCGCACTTCACGGAAAGCACAGTGTTCCCAAGGTATGCTTTATTTTGTTGAGTGATGTTACCAGAGTATACAGTATATAGTAAATGGGTTTTGTGTAGTTTGATGTATTTTCCACGAGAAAGGGAAGGGATAAGCTAGTTTCTTGGAAAATATTGTGTGATATTAACAGGAGATGGAAAAAATATATATTCTTTATCAAGTAACATGATCTTTAGATTTGAAAGTAATTGTGTAAACCTGTTTAGAAGAGGGGGGAATAACAGTAAGGAAAAGTGCAGACACTGTGTCACTGAATGCAGCCTTTAGTTTGGAACCAGAGTTTTATCTTGGAGAAGGAGAAAAACTGGCAACTATGATAGTCAACCTGCTACCAATAATCTTCATGAATTTAAGAGAATGAAAATGGTATTAAAAAAGGAATAAAATAGAATATATATGTCTAATATGTAGCTAAAGAGATATATTTGGCCCCAAAAGAAACAATGCAAGGACAAACCAAAAACTAATTAAAATAGTTTCCTTGGGAGAAAGTGTAACAGGATGCTGGAGATGTATCTGTGAATGAACTTTGGTATATATAGTTATGACTTTTAACCATGTAATTGTTTTAAATAGTAAAGTTAAATAAAGTGGAAAACTGAAACAAATGAACCAAGCTCTGTGTCAAGGTGGTCATATAACCATGTGAAATTTCACAAAGTTCTTAAATGCAGTCAGTATTTTATTGTTAACTGAAAATACATGTCTTTTGAAGTGTTTTTTTATTTATTTTTTTATTTTTTGTGGTGCTAAGAATTGAACCCAAGGCTTGCTAGGCAAGGGGTCTACCAATTGAGCCACATCTCCAGCCCCTAGATGTTGTCATTTCAATCTATTATAGGATAAAGTAAATTAATAATTATATTAATATCACTAGGAACCAAGATCTTTAGCGTGAGTGTAAAGAGAGGGAGTTGCATATGTACATATGAACTTGTGATTTTTTAAAACATTTGTATTTCTTAGTTCTTTCCACTGAAGAGTCAAGAAGCAGTGAAGATGGGCTGGGGTTGTGGCTCAGTGATAGAGCAGTTGGCTTGCATATGTGAAGCACTGGGTTCGATTCTCAGCACCACATACAAATAAATGAATAAAATAAAGGTCTGTCAACAATTAAAAAATATTAAAAAGAAGAAGAAGAAGCGTGAAGACCCTGTGCACAGACAATGGCTTTCTGGGTACCACCCCTCACTAAATGGAATCAGTTCCTTGGGGGACAGGTCAGCTCTAGGTCTAGAGCAGCAAATGTACAGGTGAGGTGGGAACATCTTGTGCCAGAAAGCAAGGAAGCCGCAAAGGACCAGTGAGGTCTTTGAAAGGGCCATAGGAGTCATCTGGAAGGGAGGGGCTTAACACCAACCTGAGATGGAACAGTTTGAGCCTTAAGAATTATAACTAAAAGAATAAAACACGTTAAGTATATCAATAATAATTTTTTAAAAACCTTCTAAACCTTATTCATTGCATTAGTGGTTGATTGAGTCCTTGCTTGTTGCTTTGAAGATTGATAAAGGGAAGGAATCAGGCATTTCTCTTGCCTTTTCTGTACAAACTATATTTCAGAATAACCAAATAGTTGATGAGGGAAAGTTCTTTTTTTTTTGGTCCCAGGGATTGAACCCAGAGGTACTTAAACACTGAGCCACATCCCAGCCCTATTTTGTATTTTATTTAGAGACAGGGTCTCACTGAATTGCTTAGTGTCTAGCTTTGGCTGAGGCTGGCTTTGAACACACAACCCTCCTGCCTCAGCCTGCCCGGCTTAATTTTTTATTTTGAGACAGGGTTGCTGAGGTTGGCCTTGATCCTCCTGCCTCATCCTCCCAGGTTGCTGGGATTACGGGTGTGCACCACTGTGTCTGGCTTCATTCAATGTTCTTATAAATAATTTAGATGATCACTTAGAAAGGATGTTCTCTAATTTATACTTCAAATGGATTTGTAAGAAATGACTAATATTTTAAAAGAGCAAATCAAAATGTAAGTAAGTTTTAGTAGGGTAGAACATTACACCAAAACCTGTGAGGAATTTAATAAAGACAATATAAAATTGTGCCTTTAGGTCTGGAAGTGAGTTGCACAAGTGTAGGAGTGGGGACATCTTGTTCACAGCTGTCTATGAGGGAGAAATGTTTTTAAAAAGTTCACTAATTGGGGCTGGGAATGTGGCTTAAGCGGTAGCACGCTTGCCTGGCATACGCGGGGTGCTGGGTTCGATCCTCAGCACCACATAAAAATAAAATAAAAGATGTTGTGTCCACTAAAAAATAAATATTAAAAAATTTTCTCTCTCTCTTAAAAAAAAAGTTTCACTAACTGTAAATTGGGTATTAGCTACCATTATTGGTTTGCAGAAGCATAGATGTCATTTCTTGATAAGTCATTCTGAAGATAATGTCCAGTTAAGATGCATACATCAGTTATCAGTGCATTTGCTGTTATTAGTTTCTCATCTAGTGTGACTGTGCCAATAGACACCTGAGTGTACGCAAACGCACATTTCAGTTTGGGTCTTACTTGATATTAGGAGATGTATTCACAGTGGCTATCTCAAGTAGAGAGATAACAGTACTTACAGTTTTGATTCCTTGATAGAATGTTGCCAGGTAACCGGATTTCCACAGATGCAGTCCAGAATGCTGCTTCGTTTGTTAAATGTGAAGATCTTCTTATTATGTAGCCTGTGTCTGCACTGGAGGAGTCAATGGAAGGCCTTTGTCCTTTAAGCCCAGGGCCACTTGGGGATGTTCTGTCCTCCATTGTTTTGCTATGTAGTCTGGGACATTGTCCACAGCCTCTGTGTTGAAATTAGCCTTCTCAAGATCAGGGTTTACAGCTGGCTACTTTTATGTTTAGTTACATTTTGTGGGTTCCCACACAAATAGTTCACCCAAAGGGCTCTGTTTTTCTTTCAAGATTCACCCGTTGGTATAAAATTGATGTCCAACTTACTTTAACAGTGATTATTCTCAGAGATAATGCTTTTTGGCAGAATAAAGCCTTTTGGAATTATTTTCTTATTTTCTAAAATATAAGTTTTTAATCATTAAATTAATAGATTATAGTCTTTTTTTAAAAATAAGAGGCTCTGAAATATATATATATATATATATATATATATATATATATATATATATGTGTGTGTATGTATGTGTATACACACACACACACACACACACACACATATGAATCGTTATTTTATTTGTTTTTATGTGGTGCTGAGGATCGAACCCAGTGCCTCACACATGTGAGGCAAGCACTCTGCCACTGAGCCCCAGCCCCAGATTATAGTCTTTTTAATCATATTTTTTTGAAAAGTATCAAAGCTTATTAATTTAAACTGTTTTTGTTATTTTCAGGGAATCTGGGAAAAATTGCAAAGTCTATGCCTTTAGCAAGGATGGAACCTTATTTGCCTGGGGCAACGGAGACAAGTAAGTGTTCATTTACATGGCATGGTGTTCCGTGTGTGTCGTGGGTATAAATGTAACTGGCATGATTTGAATAACATGTATTTAGGTGTCATTAATAAAGCCCATCTTCTGATGTCATGATGTAGTAAGACAACTTTGAACATTTTCACAGGCATATATATATATCAATCATACCCCAAATCTAACCTAAAGAAATGAGAAGTTATTTTAAATAGTGCTCTGGTTATTGGTTAGCATTTCTTAAGTTCTGCACTAACAAAATAATACTCTTGCTTGTTTATTTTAGATTTAGATAAACTTATTTGCTGTTAAATTAATTGCAGTTAATGTAACTATTAGTCCTATTATAAAAGCATATAAATTATTTAAAAGAAGATTTAGTATAATCTGTAGTGCATAAACCACCAAATCACAAGGTTGGTCTTATTCACAATGTTAATGCGTAGTCTTAATCTTAGCTTCAAAGTGTAGGAATGGGGACATCTTGTTCTCAGTTTTTTGTTTGTTTGTTTGTTTTTGTTTTTGTTTGTACTGGGGATTGAACCTCAGGGGCACTCAACCACTGAGCCACATCTCCAGTTCTGTTTTGTATTTTATTTAGAGACAGGGTCTCACTGAGTTGCTCAGTGCTTCACTGTTGCTCGCAATCCTCCTGCCTCAGCCTCCTGAGCTGCTGGGGTTACAGGCGTGCCCGGTTATATTCTCAAATTTTACATCTTTTTATACGACCTAAGTATTTAAGTTTTATTTTTTATCCATAGTTTCAGTTTATACTATTTGGAGTCATTAGATATTTACTGCCTAGTGAGATATACTTCTTTTCATTGTCTTTTTTTTTTAAACGTTATCCTTTATTCTATTAGCTTACTCTATTGAATATCTATTTTCACCCTGGCAATTATTGTTAATGATTTTATATATTTCATTTATATTCTCACTTAGTCGTCTATTGGATTCAACTTCAGTCTTCCATATATCCCCCATATCCCTTTTTAAGTGTCCTGTCCATCACTTAATAGATAACTTTATACATAGATGCTGGCATTTATTTCCTGTGGCTTTGGCCATAATGATTCATAATGTCTCTAATAAAATATAAAAAAGGACTGGTCATGTGACTCAGTGGTGAAGTGCCCCTAGGTTCAACCCCCTGTACCAAAAAAGAAAAAACAAGAAAACTTCATGTCATTTTTATGCTTATTTTTTCCATATTTTTTAATTGGTGTGTGATAGTTGTACATAATGGTGAGATTTGTTGTTACATATTCTCATGTCATTTTAAAATACGTAATTTACAAGGGTGTGTGTGTGTGTGTGTGTGTGTGTGTATGTATTATAACAGTATGCTATAATCTTTGATTCCTATCAGTTATTATTTGTCCTAACCGAGGTATCCTCTTCAAACTAGAGTAAAACAAAGTTTCTTTTAGCAGTGTCTGGAATAAAATGGAACATCTTTTTTTGTTTTTTTAACTCTAAAATGTTTATGTACAGAAAAGTCAGCCTGAACTGATTCAGAAGCTTGGCCCTGGCATTTATTAGTAGTATGATCTTGGGCAAATCATAAACTAGTTCGATTTTTTTGTACTGGGGAAATGAATCCAGGGGTGCTTAACTACATCCATAACCTATTTTATATTTCATTTAGAGACAGGGTCTTTATGAGTTGCTTAGTGCCTCGCTTTTGCTAAGGCTGGCTTTGAACTCTTGATCCTCCTGCCTCAGAGCCTCCAAGCTGCTGAGATTACAGGCATATGCTACCATGCCTTGTTAATTTTTTTTTAAGTCTTAAATTTAAAATTTAAAAAATAGAATTGATGAGACTGTTGAGGATTAAATATGGAACTGCTTTTATTATATGGTCATCATCATTTTTGTCATTATTGTACCATAATAATTTGTATGCCTTTTGAAGATTGCTTTTGAGATGTTAATAGACATCCAGAGTTTTCTTACAGACTTCCTAGCTGCTTTGGTTTGCACTTATTCAAATGAAGACAATATACTTTGCTGTTCCTTGCCTCTCTGCCTTCCCTTAGTTTGGAATATCTCAGCTTCTCTATAGCTTAGCTTTTTCTTTTTTTATCTATCTTTTTGTCTGTAGCTTACTTTGTGTTCACTTACAGAACTTGTTTCCTTTTCAGAAATCGAATCATCTTTTATCTTTCTGCTAATACTCTATTATTTTCAAACATTAACCTGCCATAGGGTCTTTTTTGTAAAATGTCCTTTTGTTTTTAAAGTTAAGGTGTTTTTGGATATTTTCTAAAACTAACTGAAAATTGATTTTTATGATAAAGAAACATTTTGAAGTGATCCATATTTGAAAAGAGGTGTGAATGTTTTGGTTAGTGTTGGCTATTAAAAAATATTATAAAATGGTATTTCATCACTGAAGTCGTTTCTTTTGAACCAGAGTAAATACCATCAGTATCACTAACAAGGGACTGCTGCACTCCTTTGACCTCCCAAAGGCAGTTTGCCTTGAATTCTCGCCAAAAAACACTGTTCTGGCGACGTGGCAGCCTTACACTAGTAAGTACTTTCCCACTGTATACCTATTCTGGCAGGACCAATTAAATTTAGTGGAAAAAAAGAGATTTATAACCTTGTAAGACAGTATTTGTGTAATAGTAAGTTTGTATTTGTAATCAACAAGTAATGTCTAATTCTCCCAGTACAACATACTGTTCGTAATTTTAAGGTAAGGTAATATCCCTTATCCACAGGGGTTATGTTCTTACTGGATGCCTGAAACTGCAGATAGTGCTTAATCTTTTAATTGAATGCCTTTTCCATCTTAACTAGGCATTTACCTATATTTTTATATTTTGAGATGTCACAGCAAAATTAACAGGGGTTTCTTTTTTTTTCGCAATTTCTTGGATAGAAGATTTGTTCTTACTGGTGATCTTGGCAATTTAAGCAGTTTTTTTTTTCCCCCCCTTACATTAAATAGTTGAGAACTCTCCAACTTTTTACTTAAAAGAAATGCTTTATGTGCATATCCGAATTTCCAGCTACTTTTCCATATCCAAATTACTTCTTTTGTGGTTTGAGCCATTGCTGTGTAAATAAATTATTACTTGAACTCAAGTGCTGTGTGCTCCAGCAGTCAAAATGGTGACCAAGATGGCTCCTAAATGACCAGTGGGTGGATAGCATATGGATATAGCATGGATACCCTGGATGCATGGGTGATTCATGCCCTGTGTGGGACAGAGTGGGATGGCACTCAATTTAAAACTTATGAACTGTTTATTTCTGGAATTTTCCACTTAATATTTTTGGTCTTCGTTGACTAAAATAACTGAAACCTCAGAAACTGAAACAGTAGATAAGGGAGAATTACTGTGTATAGTAAGTTAGAAGGAAGATCAATCATGAGATAGAGAGAAAGAAAAGGCTCAAGAGAAAATTTAAAAAGTAAATAACTGCTGGCTAGAGAAGATCATTAAAGATTAAGAAGAATAATAACCGATAAATATCATCATTATAAGTGAAAGGAAGCACCATAGATACGTCTAAGAGGTGTGTGTTATATGACTGGAAATGGTGTGCTATTTTCTTACACATTTAGATATCTCATGATAAGATATTATATGAGCATATTATATAGCTGTGGTTTAAAAATGAGTGATAAAAATGAGTGATAATAGGTCATTGTTGGGCTGTAAACATGGGTTTTATTCTTTTAAAGAGTCATCAACTCTGGAACTGGGGTTGTAGCTCAGTGGTAAAGCGCCTGCCTGCCTCGCATATGTGATGCACTGGGTTTGATCCTCAGCAACACATAAAAAGTAAATAAACAAAATAAAGGTGTTGTGCCCATCTACCACTAAAAACTTTTTTTAAAAAAAGTAGTCATCAACTCTAATGAATCTTATTGTTCCAAGTAAATAAAAGGGAAATTGAAACTCATGAATGGTTGTAAGTAACATTTTTTTCATAACAGACTTCAAAGTTTCATTATTTTAATCTATCTGTTTAACAGAAATGCATTTCAAACTTAATAAATAAGAAATCTCAAGTATTTTAAAACCTACAGTGGTCACTGCAGGCGCTGGGCTGGCTCAGGCAGCTGTTGTCCTTGTGTGGGGAACGAGTGATCAACTCCAGAAGGATGGCCAAAGAGTTGATTTGGGGAGACTTTTTAATTTGATCTTCATACTCCTTTTCAATTTTTTCTAAGTCTGAAATTTTTTTATAGCTGTTAGACAATTAGTGCAAAATTTTTTGTTTTTGTTTTTATTGCAGCTTCTAAAGATGGCACAGCTGGATTACCCAACCTACAGTTATATGATATGAAAAATGGGACATGTTTGAAATCTTTCATACAGAAAAAAATGCAAAATTGGTAAATAAATGCTTTAAAGTATAATTATTTACATAATATTTTAATATCATGGTATAATATTTGTTTCCCTGGTATTGATTTTGAAAATACTTTGAACAAAATATAGATCATTTAGGGATTTTGTATATAGGAAAATAAAAGAGTAAAAATGTGATCTTTATTTTGTCTTTAAAAGGAAAGGAATTATATTTTCCTATATGTATTTTCTTTTTAGTATTCATGTATATTTGTTTTTTAATATCTTTTTTTTATATTTAGTTTTTAGTTTTAGGTGGACACAATATCTTTATTTTACATTTATGTGGTGCTGAGGATTGAACTCAGTGCTTCCTGCATGCTAGGCAAGCACTCTACCACTGAGCCACAACCCCAGCCTCTATTTTCTAATATCTGTATTTATTTATTTTTATGTGGTGCCACACATGCTAGGCAAGTGCTCTACCTCTGAGCCACAACCCCAGCCCCTGTATTAAACATTGTTTAATAAAACTATTAGAAATTGACTTGGTAGGTATTTTCCCTTAAATAGTGAACAGTGTCACAGACCTAACGTGGTAACATAAGTTGTCCTCTAATTTTGTTTTTGTTTTGAGATAGGTGTCCATCCTGGTCAGAAGATGAAATTATTTGTGCCCGAAATGTTAACAATGAAGTTCACTTCTTTGAAAACAACAATTTTGGTATGGAAAGATTTATTAAAAAAAAAATAAAAAAATTTGTTGTTGTTGTTGAGAATCTTTATTTTTATTTATTCATTTATTTATATGTGGTGCTAAGAATCAAACCCAGTGCCTCACACATGCTAGGCAAGTGCTTTACCACTGAGCCACAACCCCAGCCCTGAAATAATTTTATTATTTACTTTAAATGTATGAAGTGTTTATTATCTTATGTGGCATCAAAGGATTCTCCTAAATACTAGTAATTTGCTAATCAGTAATTGCTGTTATATCCACTTGTAGAATTCTCTGTAAGTCTAAATACCAATGAAATTCAGTATCACAAATTTTGATTTATAATAACATTATTGTTTGATAATTGGTATTAAATGAAGAGATTAGAATGTCTCTTGCTGAACTTAATTGCTGTTGAAATTCTGTAACACAGATTTTTTAAAAATGTCTTGCTGTATAGAATTTCAAACACCAAAGTGGACATCTGGCTCCTATTCCTCCTATTCCTACCTCTGTCCAAAGAACATCTCTGAGCTAAAGCAAATTCTAGAGATCATATAATTTTACTAGAAAATATTTAATCATTTATCTCTGAAGATTAGGGCCCTTAATTTTTAAAACCAAGCCACAATTAATCACAATATCACAAATCATTAAATTTTGGTTCAGTGTTCAGATTTCCAACAGCTGCAAATGTTGTGATTCTTTTAAAACTCAGGATCTAAATAAGTTATCACATATTACAAATCGCTGATACATCGTAAGTTTCTTTTAATCTATAGTTTATCACCACATCTCTTTTTTTCTCTTGTAATTTATTATTTAACAAACAAAATTAGGCTGCACGTGGTGGTGCACACCCGTAATCCCAGCTAATCAGGAGACTGAGGCAGGAAGATTGCAAGTTAGAGGCCAGCCTCAGCAACTTAGTGGTAAAGCACCCCTGGGTTCAATCCCCAGTACTGGAAAAAGAGAGAGAAAAGAAAAACATCAGGGTTATTTTTCTTAGTTATTTTCCTGTGGTTTGAATTCTGTTTTTATATCCCATGGTATAATTTACATGTTCTTTTGTTCCCTACAAATTGCCATTTAGATTTAGAGTCCTTTTTGATGGCAAGGGTAAGAGTTCATCATATGGTGGTATTCTTTTATCAAGTAGTGTTTGATTGTCTCTGTTTTTACAGGGTTAGCTGACATTCATGTTCAATGCCTAGGTCAGTGGTTATAAGCTGGTGATGTTCTCATTTTCTTCTTTCTGTTCTTATTTATTAGCTAAATTATGTCTACAAAGATTTATTTCCCAATGTACTATTTGGTTGCCCACATGGTGTTTATATAGAAAAGGCAGGAATAAATATTCTTTTCCTTGATCAGTTTTAACATAATATGTTCTCTAGCAGCCTTCATTGTAAGCATTTAATTCTTTACTCCCATCCTAATAAACGGTGGATTTAAAATATCATGTTTCCATCTATTGTACTTATTATTCTTACTGATGCTTAAATTGCTCCATCCTTGTTTAGTTAGCTGTCAATGATTTCTTTGCTATGTGATGAGTTAAGCTATTCTAAGATTAATGTATGTGTTTCCTGCTACAGAGCTAGGATCAGTTAATCCTCTAATACATCCTAGTTACATGGTAGAAACTGTAATCTAGGTTCCAGCGGTTCTCATTGCTTCTGTGTTGATCATTGTTTCTCAACTGTTTTTTTCTTTTTTAAAGCTTCCATTTAAATGAAAGACTACAAGGTTTTTTCGTTTGTGGGTTGGTTTTTTTGGTGGTGCTGGGAATTGATCCCAGGACCTTGTGCATGCTAGGCAAGCACTCTATCAACTGAGCTATATCCCCCAGCCCAATGAACAATTTTGGGGTGAGGGGAATGGGGGGAGTACCAGGGATTGAACTTAGGGCTATTCAACCACTGAGTCACCTCCCCAGCCTTATTTATTTATTTATTTATTGGTACTGTGGAATTGAACTCAGAGGTACTCAACCACTGAGCCACATCCCTAGCCCTATTTTGTATTTTATTTAGAGACAGGATATCACTGAGTTGCTTAGCACCTTGCCCTTGCTGAGGCTGGCTTTGAACTAGCTTTGATCCTCCTATCTCAGCTCCTCCGGAGCTGCTGGCATTACAGGCGTGTGCTATTGTGCCCAGCTGCATTACCTTTTGGTGATGTCAAGAATCCTATTTCTCTGGGATAGTAGGGGTGAGAGTTGGGGAGTATCACATTCACATAAATATTTATTTGCTTTGTTCCACATTATCCGCATAGTATTCTTGGAATAATTATACCAATAGTAACATGATCACTGAGAACAGCTTTCTTTTTTTGCAGTGCTGAGGAATCTAACCCAGTGCTTCACACACATTAAACAACCACTGTACCACCAAACTACATCCCCAGCCCCTAAAAATAATTTAAAGAGAAAGGATTGCAGTTGTATTTGTTTGTTTATAGAGTACCCTATTACAATTGTGCACTTGTGAGCATGTCATGGAGTAGCAGTTGGCAAGTCTGTTCACATGCACCAAGAATGGTCAGTGGGCTGACCTCCAGCAGCTTTCCACAGCGCAGTGTGCACTTCATCTCCCTGCTTTCCACTTCTGCCCCAGTGTGTTTGATTAGCTTGCTTTTGGGCTTGCCTCTTGGTTAGCATGCCAGAGGAAGGAGCGTCACCAGGTAGGGAGTTTGGAGTACTTCTTTTGAATACCTGTTGACCTCTGAAATGGAATAAAGAAAGTAATAAATGGAATAAAGAAAGTAATTAACTCGGACAGCAGTATTATTAAAAATGTGAATTCCAACGTCCTGGCATAGAAGAAACAATAAATTTCAGCCATTGTTACTGTTGTTTTGATCATGATTATGATGTTACTACACTGTTACAGAATTTCCATATTTTCATTCTACAGTAGCAAGATCAATCTTTTCCATCTAATAGGTTGTGAAACTACTGTATCTCAGAGGTTTAAAAGAACTGACATTTATTAAATACATGCCTTGTGCCTGACACTCTGTTCTTGAAAATAGTCACCGGGAGTAAGGTGGTGTGATCCGTTACTGTGGGAGCTTGACAGCTAGTAAATGACTTGAGTAGGAAATCAAGCCTGTGTCTGTCTTGCTGCCACCCAGACCTTTTGCACTGTATTGCACTGTCTCACCCACATTCGACCACAATGAGCAATATTTGTATGTAGTTACAGTGACCTTTATAATACATTCAGAGTTTAACATGTTCCTGTTAGTGGCTCTCATCCATCTAACACCATTTATTCTTTTCTTTTAGATACAATTGCAAATAAATTACATTTGCAAAAAATTAATGATTTTGTTTTATCACCTGGGCCTCAGCCATATAAGGTAATTGCTGTTTTTGTTGGTTAATGTGAAATATTAATTTAAGCCTTTTCCTAGTTATTTTGGTAACTGTGAAAACATATCCATCTTACTTTACATACTTCAGAACATTAAGTGATGATTTAATGATTTGCTTGTGTCTTAGGTTGCTGTCTATGTTCCAGGGAGTAAAGGTGCACCTTCATTTGTCAGATTGTATCAGTACCCCAACTTTGCTGGACCTCACGCTGCATTAGCCAATAAGAGTTTCTTTAAAGCTGATAAGGTGACAATGCTATGGAATAAAAAAGGTAAGGTAAACATTTTATTCCTCATTTTGTTTATCATGTGTTAACTGGATTTAGACATGTATTTCAAAAGGAGTATCGGTGATGATTTGTGGGTATTTTTTATTTTTTTTTTTTACTTTTAGTTGTAGATGAACACAATACTTTTTTATGTGGTGCTGAGGATTGAACCTAGGGCCTCACACGTGTGAGATGAGTGCTCTACCGCTGAGCCACAGCCCCAGCTGGTTATTTTTTAGTTGTAGATGGACACAACACCTTTATTTATTTTTATGTGGTACTGAGGATCGAACCCAGGGCCTTGCACGTGCTAGGCGAGTGCTCTACCGCTGAGCCACAACCCCTGCCCATGACCTGTGTTTAAATTTAATTAAAGTGTTTGCTGTTGCAGCTACTGCTGTGCTGGTGATAGCCAGTACAGACGTGGACAAGACAGGCGCTTCGTACTATGGAGAGCAGACACTGCACTACATTGCAACCAATGGAGAGAGCGCAGTAGTGCAGTTACGTGAGTATTCCTTTGTCTTTCTTTGATAAAACAACGGTATAAAAAAATAATATGCCACAAAGATGCTATAATCTAAATCTTGGTCAGATAATAGAACTCAAATTCTTTAATATAAGATATAGTTCCTCTTAATTAAGAAACTTAAAATTATTCTTAGACATACCCAATTTTGACAGAACCCAGTTAATTTATTTGCATTATGCCAACATGCTGATAGTTAGGACTTCCTGAATGTGGCAATCCTGTTGTGTTAGTTCTTCTAGAACTTCTAGTCAAGTTCTTCTTGACTAATTATGACAGCAAGTCCATTCTAGTGAGTTGAAAATTACTTTCAGAATTGTGAATAACATCCAGGAATATCACCACTGTATCTCTTGTTTTGATGAACTCAATTAATAATAGTTTTAACATTCTAGCAGGTCCCTGATTTTTTTTTCTATTTTGAATTGAACATGTGTAAGTAGAATAATCTTGCATGCAAAAAACTATATTCTCATTGAAGTCAGATACAAAACAAGAATGGCTAAAATATCTTGCAAATGTAAGTGATCAAAAGAAGTAGAATATGCAATTTGGAAAGGAGAAAACTGAATTATCTTTGCTGGTATGGATGAAGTATAAAAAAAACAGCCACTTGAATAATGGAAGAAAAGTTTCCAAATATAGCACAAAAATAAAATGTATATAGGACTGTGGAAGGAAAACTTTATAACTCTTCAGAAAGACAATTATGACCTTTAATAAAAAGCAATTTTTAAAAGATGTTATTTCTCCCTATTAGTCTAAAAATTAAATTTAAGTCATTGTTGCTTTTGTCTAATTGGATAAGCTGGTCCTAAGGTTGATAGTGAAACATGAACATGTTTTGAAAACTTTTGTAAAAGAAGAGCAATGATAATTACTTGTTTCTGACTTATAGACAGGCTAATAAATCCATTGAATAGAATTGTCCAGAAAGAAAACTGTATTTCTATAGGCATTAATATAAAATCAACATTTGAATCAATGGGGAAAATCATTGTTTTATTTGTGGTTTGGGGACAACTAGCTAGCCATTTGAAATAAAAAATTGATATCTCTACCTCTTCACCAAAATAAATTCCAGTTAGACCATAAAATTATATAAGACTGCAAAGGAACTAGAAGAAAATATGAAATAAATTTTTGTCTAATCATAGGGTAGAAAAAGATTTTCTAAGTAAGACAGAAGTCATATGTAAAAAAGTTGAATATGTTATAAATTATAGATTTCTACATTGAAAGAAGAAAGGAGTTAAGCAAAGCAAGCAAAAAAAAATGGGAAATATATTTTTTAGAGCAGACAAGGGATGAGTATGAGAAAAGGTGAATATTCTTAATATATCAGGTAAAATCCAGTCTGTAACTGGGAAGAAGAACAGGCGTGGGACAGTAAGAATTGTCCACAGGAGCAAAAATTAAATTGCTTGTGTGTTAGAAGATGTTTAGTTTATAATTAAAAGAGTAGAAATAAACTTAAGATACCACTTTTTACTTAATAAACTGGCAAAGGTGAAAGCATGAACCTGCATAGTACCAGAGCCAGGGGACCTGCGTGGTCACATGCTGTTGCTAGGCACATGCACGGGCACACCTCCTGGGAGGGCACTATGGTAGGCGAGGAAGTGCGCATGCCCTGGTAGCTCGCAGCTGTATGCCTGCAGATGCGGTGCACACACAGTGGGAAGGAGGCAACGGGCTGGTGATGGAACGCAGTGCGGCTGAGGAAGAACTGACCAGCTGCACGTGCCCATGTTGAAACCCCAAGGTGGAGACTAAATCAATAACAGGTCTGGAGCTGTGTCACTTATGTGTTTATTTAGGAGACAGATGCTTTATTTCAACAAAAATATTCTGAAAGAGTATGGAAGAAATATAACAGGGAGGGGATTGCCTTTTTTAGAGGGTCTTATTTTTGTGGCATGTATATCTTTATATAGTTTATATTTTTATTACCATTTTATATATTACTCCTTCAAAAATAAAGACAGACACTTGCCAGGCACGGGAGGCTGAGCAAGAGGAGCCTCGAATTGAGGAGTGTGCGATCAGCTGGGACATAGAGCAAGACCCCATTTCAGAAAAGTGTGTTTTTGTTTGTTTTGGCTTTATTTTTAACATTTTTTTTAAAAAAACATTTATTTATTTATTTTAGTTGTAGTTGGACACAATACCTTTATTTCACTTATTTATTTTTATGTGGTGCTGAGGATCGAACCCAGGGTCTCGCACATGTGAGGCAAGTGCTCTACCGCTGAGCCACAACCCCAGCCCCAACATTTTTTTAATATTTATTTTTTAGTTGTAGTTGGACACAATAGCTTTATTCTATTTATTTATTTTTTTATGTGGTGCTGAGGATCAAACCCAGGGCCTTCCATGTTCTAGGCGAGCACTCTACCGCTGAGCCACCACCTCAGCCCTTGTTTTGTTTTTTATTAATAGTAATAGACTCATATTGGTTTCCATGAGCCCATATTGCCAAAATGTTTAAAATAAATTAGGATTCCATAAAAGTTCTTAAATAAACTTATGATTACATATTAATGCTCATAATGTATCATATAGGAATATTCTAACTTCAATATGCCTTGAAATTTTTAGAGGTTTTTTTTTTTTTTTTACTGTTTGATATGTTGTTATTTTACTGTTTGATATGTTTATGATTTCTGTGTATTTATAACTTGTGCTAATATAATATTCATATAATTCTTTATTTCTAATTTGGATTTTTGTATTCTTTTTCTAGCAAAAAGTGGCCCCATCTATGATGTAGCGTGGAATTCCAGCTCCACCGAGTTCTGTGCTGTGTATGGCTTCATGCCTGCCAAGGCGACGGTCTTCAACCTGAAATGTGACCCTGTGTTCGACTTTGGCACTGGGCCTCGCAATGCAGCCTACTTCAGCCCTCATGGACACATATTAGTCCTGGCTGGGTTTGGAAATCTGAGGGGACAGATGGAAGTGTGGGATGTTAAGAACTACAAACTCATCTCTAAGCCGGTGGCTTCTGATTCTACATACTTTGCGTGGTGCCCAGATGGTGAGCACATCTTAACAGCCACGTGTGCTCCCCGGTTACGTGTTAACAATGGGTACAAGGTCTGGCACTACACAGGCTCTGTCTTGCACAAGCACGATGTGCCATCGAACGCAGAGTTGTGGCAGGTCTCCTGGCAGCCATTTTTGGATGGAATATTTCCAGCAAAAAGAATAACTTACCAAGCAGTTCCAAGTGAAGTGCCCAATGACGAACCTAAAGTTGCCACAGCTTACAGACCTCCAGCTTTGAGAAATAAACCCATCACCAATTCCAAACTGGTAAGTAGAGTTTTACTACTTTGATAGGAAAAAAATTTTCACTGTGTAGACTTCTCTGGACCTATATCTTGTGTCCTGTGTGTCTTAGTACCTGGTAGGATCCAGACTAGGGCAGGGATTGTTGAGAACCTGGAGCTGAGGAAGGCCAGCCATGCACCCTGTTAAGCCGATGAGGAGATCACTCTTGAGGAGGCCAGGCCACGCCAGTGGAGTGAGACAAGGCAGGCCCTGCAGCTGGGCTGCCACAGCTGCTGCTTCCCATGGGGATTCAAGTTGCCCAAATGTTTGAACTTCAAGAAAACATGGATCTGATTGCCTTGTGAAATTTCTGAATTTTAAAGACACTGTTGGTCAAAAACACATTTGTTATGTTTAGGCCATTAGTTACCCACCATTGCTGTAAAGTTATGACCATAGTGTTGGTCAGATTCTGATATTTTTTTAAAAAGTTAGCATTTCAGAGCTTAGGGAACACCCTGGGTTTCTAGGATGGTATTAAGAAATAAAGGTGCTCCAAGAATAAGCAACAGTATTGCTGGTGTTATTATGAAAGTCACTGTACAAGAACTGTGAACTGGTCTGTTCAGGTCAATTGGATGTACAGATAGCACTTGGGGAAATAGATGCCTTTGAAGATTAAATAAATATTCTTACATCTTCCTTATGCCAGTCTTCACTTCTACATAAACAAAAACAAAAGACCAGTGCTTCCTCCTTGACTGCACACAGTGTCTGTAACTGCTTGAGTTCTACTGCAGTGTCCCATTCAAACATGGCTAGGTCTGGGGGAGGCCCAGTGGCAGAGCACTGCCCAGCGGGTGCAAGGCCCTGGGCGCCATCACCAGCCTGGGAAAATTGCTCACCTTTCCCATCTCTGGTTTTACAAGTCGAGGCTTGGCGGGCGGTCCCTGTGTGAGGAAGGTGTGAGGTGGCTGGGTTCCTGCTGAAGGACAGATACCAAAAGCAGCTCCTGGTGGTATCCCCTCTTATGAGCCCTGTGTCTCTAGTTGTGCCAGAGAAAGAAAAACTCCTTGTTTGAATAAAACTCAAGTGAATTTTGCCAGGTTTTAGAGAACCAAAAGATGTATATGAACAAGTAGAAAGATCCTCTTTTAGTCCATTATGACAGTGGGCGTGTGCCACCACTAATAAGAGTTTTTCAATGATCTTTGTCAGTGATTTTAAAGTAAAATGATAAAATAAGCTTATCCTATACTAACAAAAGTATATTATTTGTTGTTATTATATGTGTTTTTAGAAACATGGACTCCATTTCACAATTGTTTGTTTTATGTTTCCACAGCATGAAGAGGAACCACCTCAGAATATGAAACCACACACAGGAAATGAGAAGCCATTATCAAAAACAGCCCTTAAAAATCAAAGGAAGCATGAAGCTAAGAAAGCTGCCAAGCAGGTATTTGGGGTACTGATCTCTTCAAAATAGAACAAACAAACCAAAAAGAAAACCAATTAAATTTTAGCTTTGAACCTTTAAATGTAATGAACTTTGGTTTTGAAGATTTGAATGTTATGTTACAAAATGTAGCTGGAGTTAGACTTAAATAGCCAGAATTTCTTTTTTGTTTGCCTATGAATTTCTAAGTAATCCAGTCTATATCATGGGTGACTATTAGTTTTCTATCACTGTAACAGAATACCTGAGGTAGTCACCTTATAAAGACAGAAGGTTTATTTTGACTCACAACTTTAGAGTTTCAGTCCATGATCTATTGGCCCTATGGCTTTGGACCTGTCGTGGGTAGTACATCATGGTAGTAACCTGTGGTAGAGCAAAATTGCTCACCTCATCATGAGCAAGGGAATAGAGAGGAAGAGAAAGGGGCTGGTATCCTACTGTCTTCAAGAGCATGTCCCCAGTGGCCTGAGAATCTTCCTTTGACTCCACCATCTAAAGGCTATCTTTCCTCCCATTAGCACCACCCTGAGCATCAAGTCTTTAACATACTGGCTGGAGTGTCTGGTTAGTGAGGTCATAGTGACTGCATTTTTAGGTTCAGATAGAGTGGGTACTGTAAGAAAATACCTTAGACTGGGGTTTGTAAACAATAGAAATTCATTCCTCATATTTCTAGAGGCCTAAAAACAAGGTACCGGCAGACTCTGTGTCTGGGGGACTTGTTTCTCATTGACATGGTCTTCTGCGTGTCCTCCTGTGATGGAAGAGTGCAGGGAGCTCCTTGAGGCTTTTAAGAATCCTGATCCACTCCTGAAGGCAGAGTCTTCCTGGCTTACTCACTTCCCACAGCCCTGCCTGTCAGTCTCGCTGCCATCAAGCTCTACCAACATTCAGACCAGAACAGTGGCATGGATTTTTAGCAGCTAATTGCTGTATCATTCGTTCAGTCTTGCTGGTAACAGGCCTAGGTTGCTTAGGTTTTTTGATAGGAGTACTATTTTAAGAGAATTACATTATGTAACCATATTCTGCTAAAATCTGGGCTTTTAAAAAACACCATTGTTCTCTTTTGTAGTTAATATGTTTCATCTCCAGAAATATCTTAAAAGATCACCTTTAGGTTATTTTAAGTAAAAAAGAAAAATCCATTCTATGCATTAGATTTGTATAAAAGCAAATTTGTCCTCCTGGTAGGGATCTGTGCTGGGGCTGGTTGTTACCAGAAATCGGTGTCTTCACAAACACTGGTAGGTCAGATTACTCTTCCTGGAGATTGAGGGTCCCTCTGAAATCTACTTAACTTAGAATCCTATTTTCATAAGCAAATTTTCTTCATCTTATCAAAAGGTATTTTAATATGATCATTGTTGATGAAGATTCTTTTATGATAAAATATTTGTTGTTTATTTTGTATGCTTTTCTGATATATGAGCACATAAAATTTGGGGGAGATTACAGAATCAGTATGTCTTATTTAGAAAAAAATAATTTTAAAATAGTTAAATTTTCTTAAAGGTAGTCTTTGTGTCTCTTTAAAAAAGAAAAAATAGTGCCATTAATTTAAAGCATAGTAGTTACAGAAGTCCCCCAGTGCATCCATGAAGCCATACAGACACCTACAGTTGTTGGTGCCACTGATCCTCTCTACAGAGGTGCTCTTTGCTGTTCCGGTGGGTAGAGAGTTTTCACCTTGCAGGTACTCTGTGAGTGCGTTTTAAGATGACTGGCCAGAGTCAGTAAAAGTTACGGCTGTGTGATTGAGTGGAGCTAAATGGCCCAAGACAGGATCGTACCCTGCCTAGATCTTCCAATCCTGACTGAATTAAATAACCAAAAATAGCATAGTCAGGTTATGATTTTCTCAGCTTATCAACTTTACCATAAAGAGTTGAGACTTAAGAAATAAATCTTTTCATGTACACATGACCAGAATTTAAGTATAATAAAGCAGACATTTTCACTTACTTTTGGTTAGTTTGTGGTAGAAAATTAAATTTCATGTTTTACCTAATTTTAACATTTTTTCACATTTATAACTAATCTTTCTTCCTAGAAAAAAGATACATTCTCAGCTCATTACAAATAACTAAAGTTTTAAATTTTTATCTGATATCAGAATTGATTTCTTTTTTTTTAATTTCTTTTGGGTACTAGGGATTGAACCCAGGGGTTCTTTATCACTGAGCTCCATCCCCGACCCTTTTTTTATTTTATATTTTGAGACAAGGTCTTGCCAAGTGACTGAGGCTGGTCTTGAACTTGCGATCCTCATGTCTTAGCCTCCTGAGTTGTTTGTATTACGAGTGTGCACCACTATACCTGACCAGAAATGAATGTTGATGGGCAAAATATCCATCCTCTTCTTTAAGCCACTTCTATCATCTATTTTTATATTACGAAAAAATGAAAAATGCCAGACTTTACATTATCAAAATTCATAGGCTCCTTAAGAATAGAAACTAACACTGAGCCCAGTGGGACATACCTGTAATCCCAGCTACTTGGGAGGATAAGGCAAGAGGATAGCAAGTTTGAGACTAGCCTGGACAACTTAGGGAGGCCCTATCTTAAAATTAAAGTCAGGGGCGGGGGTGCACTAAGGCTGTAGCTCAGTGATAGAGTGCTTACCTAGCATGTTCTAGGCCCTGGGTCTGATTCCCAGTACTGGGGGTGGGGAGGGGAACTAAATATTTTCTTTCTGAATACTCTTAAGTGCTTAATAGTGTGTTTTCACATAATAGGAAAGGAATTAATATTTCTTGCCATGTACAAAAGCGACACCAATATGCCTTTAAAAAATATGACTACAATCTTATCCTCTTTACAAAATCTTAGGCAGGCTCTTTTAGAGTTGGAGAACTAGAGTAACACCCTATCTGTGTTATTCCTGGGATGCAGTGGGAGTTAAGAATTTCCCATCCAGAAGGTTTCCAAGGCTTGGGGCACTCAGTGTTCTGTTGACCTTCAGAAGGAAGAGCAACCCAACCTTTGCCTGGAAAGACTTGAATAGCTTTTTTCCTCCTCTTGTCAAAGCACGTATCTTATAATTACAAAGGAGAGTTGTGGTTTTGCTCTTTTCATTTATTTTGCGTATGCATTCAGGCCAGTGCTGTGCTGGGGAGCCAGCTGTCCTGGGGAGTACCTGCCAAGGTGGGGAGCCTGGGATAGGTGCAGCTAACCCAGACCTGCGGTGTGGGAACTTCCCAGGAGGCCTAGAGGCTGGGTAGGCCAGCAGGTAACTTGTGGGGAAGTATTCTAAACATGGGACAGTGTATATAGAGGCAAGGAGGCAAGAGTGTACGGCACCTTGGGGATGTGAAAGTGGCTCACAGGTGGTCCTTCAGCAAGGAGGGTGGAGGCTAGAGGGAGTCAGAGGTCTGGTCGTACTGAGAGCATGCAGGGGAAAAGGGCAGCCTTCCCTGGTACCTGGCTGTAGAGTTGAGCTAGTCTGGAGGTGAGCAGTGAGCTGCTCTCTTTCTAGCACCCTCTGTTACACGGACTGCCCCTACACACTCTGTGCATTGGGAGGGCATCACAGATCGAGACGTGACATACCTGCATGCTGGCAGGGTATCACAGAGCGAGACGTGACATATCTTCATCAGCAAAGCCCTCTACAGTCCCAAACCATCCACAACACGGTGGCACATCCCAGAGTACTGGTCAAGGAACCTCTTGGTGCACCCCTATGTGGTCATTATGGGAACACGAAAGAGCCTCCGATGTGGTCATTATGGGAACACGTAAGTGCCTCACAAGGCCTTTAATCCAGGTTCTTCAAATAATAAAGTGTAGGTGAAATTGACATTTGGCTTTCATGTTACATGTCAAGATTGTGGATTGAAATGCTTTAATGTCTTCATTTTTAAAATTGAATTCTTAAAAATATTTCCTGTAGGAAGCAAAAAATGACCAGAGTCCAGATGTGGCACAAACTCCTGCTCCGCAGAGCACATCTCGGAACACCGTCTCCCAGGCAACTTCTGGTGACCCTGAAGTAGACAAAAAAATCAGGAACCTAAAGAAGGTAAGAGACTTTTAAATGAAAAGCAGATGTGTGTGTTGAAAAGAATATACTTGAGAATCACATCCAGAAAAATAGCAGTGCTTAGCTGCCCAACAACAGGGAGCCAAGATGCTTGCTTTGTTGTTTTCTCACTATGAATTACTGTAATTAGTATAGCACTCATTTTAGTTTTCATCACAAATGCTTAAGGGCTACTTTCGTTAATTTTTTTGAGTAATAAGAAATAATGTGCATTTGTACAGAAAATGCTGATACTTTACTCACTATTTCTTTAGATACCGGTGATATTTTGTCCCAGTTTTAAGTTGAAGAAGTTTATTAATTTATGAAATTTCCCCTGTGGGGTAGGAGGTCTCTGAACCTTGTCTAGCCGTATGTGAGCTGCTCTTACGGCCTCAATTGTAGTCCAACATGGTGGGACGTGTCTGCAGTCCCAGGGATTCAGGGGCTGAGGCAGGAGGATCGAGAGGCCAAGACCAGCCTGGAAAACTTGGCAAGACTCTCCTTCAAAATAAAAAATATAAACCAGGTGGGGATGTATCCCAGACTCCATTCCCCAGTACCTGCTGCCAACACTCATAAGGCCTGTCGTCATCCAGGTAAATGGATGTCAAAACAAATGGCAAAATAAGTGATGTATTTAGTGATAACTTAATTAAAAGCTTGAAAAAATATTTTGCCAAATCTCATGTTTTAACTTGCACAGTTTTATTTTTGTATTTTGGTGGTGCTGGGGATGAAACCTAGGGCCTCATGTGTGCCAGGCAAGTCCTGTGCCCTCAAGCTGTATTCCCAGCCCTAATATACGTGGTCTTATATTTAACTTTTAAAAAAAATTAGTTTACCCCAGTATTTTCACAGGCCATTCTTGATAGAAATGTCAGAAAATTCTCCTTATTCAAGTTTTATATTCATATGATTGAGTTGTTAATAAGAAAATTTGCATGAGGACATGACTTTTCTTCCTCTTGACCCCTGTTTGATACTTATAGAAACTGAAAGCTATTGAACAACTGAAAGAACAAGCAGCAGCTGGAAAGCAGCTAGAAAAAAATCAGGTATTTTCTGCATTTTTCCTTTGGTCTCTTAGTCATTACCTTCATTCCATGTTTATTACAAGCAATTATTTCATCAGGAAAATGAGCATGTGGATTTAACTTGTTTTGGAAACTGCATGCCAGATTCTTTTTTTTTTTTAATATTTATTTTTTAGTTTTTGGGTGGACGCAACATCTTTATTTTACTTTTATGTGGTGCTGAGGATCGAATCCAGCGCCCTGCTCATGCCAGGCGAGCGTGTTACCGCTTGAGCCACATCCCCAGCCCCTGCATGCCAGATTCTTTTGCTGGTCACCTTGGACCAGTGTCAGACTGCGAAGAGTGGATGTAGATCATGGCAAGTGAGCCGCTATTCCTGGGGGCACTGGTGCTGGAACTGCTCTTTAGAAGAGAAGAGGCAAATGTGAGGTCTCTCCCTTCCTGTGGCTCTTGCTGCTGTGCTGCCTGCCCCCTCTCCTCAGCACTCTTGAGCCCAAATGAGGAATGGGAATTTCACTGGACTGAAGGGACATAGTGAGATAGCTTCTGTCTTTTGCCCTTTTGATTCACCATAGATATCAAATTAGAATTTGTTTCTTATACATGTTTTTTAATCTGTTTATCAGTAGATCTGATAAAGTATAAGCAATCCTCCTTCTCTAAGTGGTTTCTCTAATCTCCTCTAAGTTTGTTCACTTATACAGGCAATAATTATTTTATTTCCTATTTAATAATTTTACTGTTTCAAACTTTTCTAGTTGGAGAAAATTCAGAAAGAGAAAGCCCTTCTCCAGGAGCTGGAAGATTTGGAATTGGGTATTTAAAGATTCACAGAAAGCAAGGTGGTTACCATAAACCAGTACAAGCACATCTTCTGTGAAACCCGTTTGTGTTCATGGAATATCCATGTGCCAATATTTAATGTTGGTCTATAATTTTAAGGAGTTGTACAAGATTCCGAATATGTATGAAATTATTTAATGTCTATTAAATTGACTTCTATATCCTGCATCCTGTATCATGTCAATATGTGATGGAAAAAAGATACATGAGATTTTTAGCTAAGTTGACAGATTGAGAGACTTTTTTAAGTAGGGTACAGTATTTGCTATATAAATGAATAAAGACATTTTAAATTTAACTGTTTTTGCCTTTAAATTCGTCAAGTTTTTTATCGGGCTAGTTTGTAGCTCAGTGGTAGAGCAAAAGCACTTGCCTAACATGTTTGAGGCCATGGTTTCAACCTCCAACACTGCAAAAACAACAGCCATCCTGTAGTAGTTACAGCTTGGCATGGTGGCACATTCCTGTAATCCCAGCAACTCGGGAAGCTGAGGCTGGAGGAAAGCAGGTTTGAGGCTGGCCTTAGCAACTTAGTGAGGCCCCTAAGTAACTTAACAAGACCCTATCTCAAAATAAAATACAACGGACTGGGGATATCACTCAGTAGTGGAGTCCCTCTGGATTCAATCCTGAGTAAAACGTTCTTTATGAATTTAAAAAGTGTGTGTTAAATTATTTAATTCTCATAACAAGTCTGTGAGATAGATGCCAGTGTCACAAAGTTGGATATGAGATCCTAATGCAGGCAGTGTGAACCCAGTGTGCTGTGGGTCACTGCAATGCACTGCTTAGACACCATGCCCTTGTACACTCATTTGGTGTTACTGAAGGGCATGGTTCATTTCTTTCTTTTTGCAGTGCTGGGGATTAAACCTAAGGGCCTTTACTACTGAGATACATCCTCAGCCCTTTTTATTTTGAGGCAAGAAATTATGTAGTTGATGAGGCTGGCCTCATGTTTGCAGTCCTTCTGCCTCAACCTCCTGAGTCACTGCACTTACAAAGCATCAACCACTCTGCTGGGTTGTTTGTCCTTTTCCTTTGGTGTTTCTCTATTCGATTGCTTGTCCTTCTTCTCATTAGTTGGTGTGTCCTCTGTAGGAAGAGCTTATATGGAATATTTAATGGTTTAAGCAGCACACAAAGGCATAAATGAAAAGTGTCTCCTGTATTCTAGAGCAGCAGTGACCAATTTTGATGTTTCTAAAGATGGGTGGCATACCTATATTCAAGTAATTGTATATCCACAATTCTGTGTACTCTTTTTTTCCCCTTAAAGTATTATAGAGTTCATTCTGTATCAATACTTCTCCGTTTTATATATATGCAATCCATAATAATACATTATGTCAATGTATCATTTCACCTGGTGCATAGGATTGCACGTTTAATTTTTAAAACTAGGTTGAACATATATACACATACTTAAACAAAGTATAGGTGCTTATCTGTGTTCTGGATTTGGGTATATCCCAGGTTTTGAAAAAGTAATGTAGTCTATAATCCCAGTGACTTGGGAGACTGAGGCAGGAAGATCACAAGTTTGAGATCAGCCTCAGCAACTTAACGAAGGCTTAGTGAAAACAACCTGTCTCAAAATAAAAAAGGCTGGGGATGTGTCTCTGGGTTCAATCCCCAGTACCAAAAATATATATATTAAAAACATTTATTCAAGTAAGATTTCAAACAATTCTTGGGCTCATCCACCTGTTTAGTTGCATTAGTATCCAAATCTGGGCAAACTGGCAAGAGTTTATAAGTAGTGGGGCTGGGGATTTAGCTCAGTGGTAGAGCTCTTGCTACCATGCATGAGCTTTTGGGTTAGTTCCTAGCAACACACACACACACAAAAAAAAGAATTTATAAGTAGGAATGACTGTGACAAGCCTCGCTGTTCCAGTCTTACCAAAGGTATTTGTTTTGTTCTGCAAGGAGGGGGAAAGAGGAGAATAAGCCCACATGATGTGCCTGCTTTTTTAGGTCATACTCGGCGGCAAACCATCAGGTCATGTCAGATTTGGAAATAATAGCCTTCATGTTTTTTTCTTCAAATTATATGGATCAGTTTGACAAGAGTTTATTTGGTACAGTATAAGTTACAAAGGAATGCAGTGTATCATTTAGAAATATGTGTCATTTAGAAATATCAGATTATTTGTAGATATATTTATTTGTAGATTTATAAATTAGTTCATGACATGAAATAGAAGACAAGATTCAAGACTTGGAACAAAATGATGTGGCCAGGGAACATCATAAAGGCAAGCATTCAAGTGTATGGTGATGTGAAAATGTAGGAGATACCCATGCTCTCTGATGTTTCCTGTTCTCCTCTCCTGGGCATGTGGAGAACCACAGTTCCCCACAGTTAGGCACAGGTAAGTACGTAGTAAGCACATGGAATGGTAGGCAGAAGTATGGTGTCTTGTTTCTAAGCAAAAGCATTTGTGAGCCGTGGCTCTTCATGCCTTCTCTCCAGCTGTGTTGGTCCCTGAGGCCTGGGGTTGAAAAGACAGTGTCATAAATAGTGGTCTTGAGTGACTCTAGTAAGCAGTCTCCTTGAGACTCATGTTGGACTTGTCGTGTGAATGAGAAATATATTTTTTATTTTTAGGCCAGTAAGATTAGGCCCAGTGGTTCCCAAATTTTGCTGCACATTACAGTTACTCAGGAGCTTTCACAATTTCTAATGCCTGAATCCCCCTTACCAACTAAATAAGAATATATTGTGTTAGAGATAGAGATCCATGTTTTTCTAAGGTTCCCCAGTGGATTCCAGTGTGCTAGCAAAGTTTGAGAACCCTGGATGGAGTCTGTGATATTCAGACGCCCACGGTGTGGGTCATCCTGAAGACAGGGAAGAGTCAAGTGAAGTTGTTTCTGTTGGGTATGTTCATCCCTAGAAAGTGTCAAATATACATGTATTACAGCCTGCCTTAGGGATATAATATTCACTGTACAGGTGGTCCCTGGGCTCAACTTATTTTCAACTTCATGATGGGTTTTATTGGGATATAAACATATTTTGAACTTATTTTCCATTTAAAGTATTTATCAGGATGTGGCCCAATCTTAAGTCAAGGTACATATGTATCACTGTTTCTTATGAGGTTTATTCTTGGTTTACATCAGAAAATATCAATCCTGTGGTGCATCTAGGACTACATGTTTTCTACTTTTGACTAACCTAATTAGTTCCCTCTTTTGTCAGGTATAAGCATCCTCCCATCATTTGTGTAGAATGTGATGGACATTCGATCAGAGTAATTGATGAGTGCACGACTGCGGAATGGACCCAGGACTGGGCTGGTTGCCAGAGAGTAGCGCCATTTGTAGTTCAATATGTTGATTTGTCTGTAGGACACTTGAATATTAAGTTGGCATAAGAAAGACATTGGGATGTGTTATGGATGCAATGTATCCTCCCCAAATTCCTATGTTAAAGCCCAACCCCCAATCTGATGATATTTGGATTTGGGGCCTATTAGATATGCTTTGTTCCCCAAAAGCTTGTTGTGAGACAATGCAAAAGAGTATAGAGATTAAGTGTTTGGGTTATATGAGTCTTAACCTCCCCAACACACTATCTGTGGACAGGGATAACTGGGTGGTAACTATAGGCAGGGAGGGTAGGCTGATGGAGGTGGGTCCTTGAAGTGTGCTTTGGGGCTTATATTTTGCCCTAGTGAGTGGGGTTCCCTGCTTCCTGTCATGTCCTGAGTTGCTTTCGTCGTCCACACCTTTCCAACCTGATGTGAGAAACTGAGATATGATATGTATCTGTTATGGGTGCCCTATGTAGAAAAAAATTGCTTTTTGTTTAAGGTTTACCATGTTGTCATGATTGGCACCTAGAAAGAATCTACTATTCAGACCCTCCCCACATAAACAGGGGTGGAGATTTTGCAGTCCTGCTGTTTTCCCTCTGTATGTCACCACAGTTTGGATTCTGCCAGTCTAAACACACTCAGTAGGATGCTCATTGTTCCCTGGTATCAAGCTCAAGCTCATGATAAAATGGAGTACTATGCAGCCTTTGCAACACAATGCTGGAAGACTACAGCCCTTAAGCTAAATCCTGCAGAACCCAGAGTAGATTTCTATTTCAGGTGGTTGAGAAATCAGAATCACTTAGTGAGATTCAGATTTCAGTCTCTGCCGTGACATTGGGGCCAACACAGCCATGCGCACCCCTTAACACACTGTCCACACTGCTCCTGCCACTGCTGCAGAGTTGCATGGTTGCAACAAATTGTGTTCTTGCAAAACCTGACACAGTGACTCTCTGTACCTTTACAGAAAAATTTACTCACCTTGTTGTAGAATACAAAATAACACGAAAATAATCATCCTTATGCAGGTGTTGCAACCCTTGTGATCTCTACCAGGTAAACCAGAAGTGAGATTGCTGGGTCATGTCACCTTTGTGTTTATTCTCGGTCTGTTTCCATCTTTGGTACTGCCACCACTCTGAGGCCATTGTCTTTATTTAATGGAGGCATGATTAAGTTACTTAATGTCACTTACTAATGTTAGAGTCTGGGTCTCACTGAATTGCTTAGTGCCTTGCTGTTGCTGAGGCTGGCTTTGAACTTTTTTAAATGTCTTTAGTTGGGGCTGGGGTTGTGGCTCAGCGGTAGAGCGTTCGCCTTGCACGTGCAAGACTCTGGGTTCGATCCTCAGCACCACTTAAAAATAAAGGTATTAAAAAGGAAAAAAAAAAAAACAATGCCTTTAGTTGTAGATGGACAAAATACCTTTATTTTATTTTTTTAAATGTGGTGCTGAGGATCAAACCCAGTGCCTCCCATGCCAGGCAAGTGCTCTACCACTGAGCTACAGCCTCAGCCCTGGCTTTCAACTCTTGATCCTCCTGTCTCAGCCTTCCCAGCTGCTGGGATTACTGGCTCTTGGTCCGTCCGTCCATCCTTCCTTCCTTCCTTCCTCCCTCACTCCTGTAATCCCAGTGGCTCAGGAGGCGGAGGCAGGAGGATCCTGAATTCAAAGGCTGTCTCAGGAATTTAGCGAGGTGCTTAGCAACTCAGTGAGACCCTGTCTAAATAAAATACAAAATAGGGCTGGGGATGTGACTCAGTAGTTCAATGTCCCTGAGTTTAATCCCCAGTACCAAAAAAAATAATAATAAAATAAAGGCGGGTGGGTGCTGGGGGTGTAGCTAAGTGATAGAGCATTTGCCTAGCCTGCTGGAGGCCCTGGGTTCAATCCCAGGTAATATAAAAATAAATAAATGAATAAAAATAAGGCAATGGGTCCAAATGATTTAGGTACAGATTGAACCTTTTATACATTACACAAAAGATCAATGACATCATGGGTTGCCAACCTACTTCAGACAAACTTGTACTAATTTTGTTAAAACTGAATTGATTACTTTCTTAATTTCTGCCCCCTGCTAAATAAAAAATTGTATGCACACGTTCTAAGAACAGTTTTACATCAGAAAGTTGACGATGTTTGTGTTGCAATCCAAAAATATGAAAAATAGCTAGATATTGAGTTTTCCAAAAATAAATTTTAAGGTGAGCATTTTATTCTTGGCTCTTACCTGAAGACACATCCATGAGACCACAGACATCCCTCCAGCATCCCATCCCTCCATGGGTCAATCCTAGCCGCCCCAGTGGAAAGATGACACCTGTAGGGACAATAGCCTGTGGCCTTGGGGAGGGTGGGTGACAGAATGGTACTGCTGCCTGCTGCGGGAAGATCTGTTGGCACCAAGGGGCTTGTGGCTGGTCCCGGGACAGGCAGGGCTCCTGTCAACATGCTGGGATGGCACAGGACCCTCACATTTCCAACCTAAAGGTTTCCTTCTCCCTCTGGGGAGCTTCTTTTTCTCTTTAGAACTGTGAGGAAGTCTGGCGTCTGAGGCTCAGTACTGTCTGTACAAAGCACCTTGCAGGGCTCAGGAATCTGCAGAGGAGAGGGTCCACCCCTAGTGATGCTTCTCATGCCCACTGGGGGCCTAGCCTCAGGGCCCTGGAGCCTCTCCCTGTGCACTGCACCTTTGGTAGGACATGGAACTGACAGGAAAACCAATTGTTTTGGATCCATTACTTTCTATTTTTTAGAGCTTTTTTTTTTTTTTTTGGTTTTTTTTTTTTACAGTCTCTGGACCACTGGTCCTTTTCTTTGAGGTCATGGATACCTTGCATGGCACTTTTCTGTCTTGTCAATGTCACTGAGATCTGAGAAGAGAGAGAGGTATGTGCTATTGTTTTGTTTTTGTTTTTAACCTTAAATTTATCTTAAATTGGAAGTAAAAAAAAACATATTCCTAAAGATTTTTTAATCTTTTATGAATTTGAAAATGAAAAGCATTTATTCACATGTCTTCATATGGCCACTAGAGGGTTCCAAAGATTGTAGTAAAGGGAAATCAATGAGGGATTAGAAATTGTAGAACATATATGGAAAATGTGTTCATTCACTTAAAACTTGCTGTCTTAGCACCCTGGGCTACTCACCTTGGTTTCCTGTTTGTCAGACTCCTTGCATTAGCCTCTCGTCCTCTGCCATACTTCCCCTAAGCTTGTTCTCTATCAGTGATCCCTGGTTGGCTGCAAATGAATCATATTCCAAGAATTTTTAAGTCAAGCATTTACAAAATGAAATGTGTTCTCCTACAGAGGGAGTAATATCACTGGTCCCTGGTATTGAGGAAGAATCTTGAAAACCTTAAATAGGTGCACTTTAAAAATTCATCTTAAGAAAATGAAAAGATATAAAAATATTTGTACAAGTTGGAGCTGATGAAGGATTGTTCTCCAAAATAAATAACTCTTAACACTCAATAGTAAGAAAAAAAGCCTCATTAAAAAATGGGCCAAAGTGGAAGGCTGGGGTAGGAGGATCGCAAGTTCAAAGCTACCCTTAGCAACTTAGCAAAACCCTAAGCAACTCAGTGAGACCCTGTCTCTAAATAAAATATATAAAGGGCTGGAGTTGTGGCTCAGTGGTAGAGCACTTGCCTAGCATCTGTGAGGCACTGGGTTCAATTGCCAGTACCACATTAAAAAACCAAAACTAAATAAACAAAAAAAGGGGCTAGGGATATGGCTCTGTGGTTAAGCACCCCTGGTTCAATCTCTAGTACCAAAAAAAAAAAAAAAAAGATGAGGGGAGAGCAAAGACTTGACCACATCTCCCTAAAGAAGATAGAGGGCAAACACATGGAAAGATATTCCACATCATGTCATCAGAGGAATGAGGATTCAAACAATGCAGTACCCACCACCATACCCCATTCAAATGGCCCAAACCAGAACATTACTGTCACATGTCACATGCAGACAAGAAGGGGAGCAACAGAAACTGGTTGATAGCTGGCAGGACTGCAAAACCTTATAACTACTTTGGAAGACTATGGGGCAAATTTTTTTTTTTTTTTTTTTTTTTTTTTGTACTGAGGATTGAACCGAAGGATGTTTCATCACTGAATCACATCCCCAGTTCTTTTTATTTATTTATTTTTATTTTGAGCAGGGTCTTGCCAAGTTGCTGAGGGTCTCACTGTGTTACTGAGGCTAGTCTCAAACTTGCAATCCTACTGCCTCAGTCTTCTGAGTCACTGTGAGATTACAAGCATGTACCACTGTGCCCAGCCAGTCTGGCACTTAACAAAAGTAGACATACCATATAATCCAGAATGGGCTTTCTGGTATTTATCCAAAGGAGGTAAAAACCTAGTTCCACACAAAAACCTGTGTATGAATATTCATAGCAGCTTTATTTATAATTGCCAAAACCTGGAGGCAATTAGGATGTCCTTCAGTGAATGAATAGATAAATGTCCAGATGATGGAATAGTATTCAGTGCTAAAAAGAAATGAGCATCAAGCCATGTAAAGACTTAGAAGAAACTTAATACATACCAGAAAGTTAAAGAAGCCAAGCTGAAACGGTCACATACTATGATTCCAACTATATATATACTCTTCTGGAAAATGCAAAGCCAGAACAATGAAAAGATCAGCTGTTTCCAGGGATTACACAGGAGACAAGGAGCATAAAGGATTTTTAGCATGGTGAAAATATTTTGTATGGTACTATAATAGTAAATACATGTCATTATACATTTGCCAAAACCCATAGAATATACTACATCAAAAATGAAGCCAAATATAAACTTTGAATTTTGGGTTGTCAACAGAGAAATCACCAGAAGTGAGACTCAAAGAATTCTTGGAGAAGAGGGGAGCTCAACTCAGGAAAAGTGAAGTCCTTGACCTACGTGGCCAATATTGATTTCCAGGGTGTATCAGTAAAGGCACGGACAGTGATTCATTAGGAAATCAGATGCACGTTCAAGGGAGAACGTGGGCTGTTTCAAGAGAAAGATGTCTTAGGATAAACCAAGAAATACACATTAAAGAAGAGAATGTGGGCCATCTAAAGATTGAGACAAATTTTGGGGTTCCCACTTCCTTTTTTAAAGGAAACTTGGTGAGCACTGTGTATGGGAAGGAATGTAAGAATCATATCAGTCTGGTGATCACAAGATTGTTTATGGTTTGATCATTCTTAGAATTCTTAGGCTGATATGGTCTCCATTATCTGATCAATTAACACTGGAAAGTCCCCTAAATTTTAGGTTTTCTTAAAATATCTGCCGTTTGCTTAATATATTAGTGGGCTAATTAACAGTGCATAAGGTAATTATAAGTAAGGGAATTTATGGTTAACTGCAAGATGTTCAGATGTCCCAGAAATTTGGGAGTGACAGATCTGGGCTAGAGCTTGGCTTTAGGAGTGACAGGCTTGGAAAGGTAGGCAGAAACCTCAGGTTAAAACTAGATTTCCGGGCTTGGGAAATAGCTCAGTTGGTAGCATGCTTACCTGCCATATACAAGGCCCTGGATTCAATCCCCAGCACCACAACAAAAAAACAAATTTCTTTGCTTTTCCCTCCCTCCCTCCCTTTCTTTCTTTCTCAGGGGCACTCAACCACTAAGCCACATCCCCAGCCTTATTTTGTATTTTATTTAGAGACAGGGTCTCACTGAGTTGCTCAGTGCCTCCCCATTGCGGAAACTCGCAATTCTCCTGCCTCAGCCTCCAGAGCCACTGGCATTACAGGAATGTGCCACTGCACCCGGCTTCCTTGCCCTTTCTTTAGGATTTCTTTCTGTTTTTTTACTTCTTCTATCCCACCTTAGGGGAATAATGATGTGCCGATGTGGGCTTGTCCTTTATAACTACCTACCACCTTAGAAAGGGCTGTTGATAATGGGGCACATAGGCTACGTGTGCCTGGAGCTCGATTTTGTTGTGAACCTGGAACTGCTGGGGAGAAAAGTCTAAAGTTTAAAAATCAACGGCAGAATAAGCAAATCGAATAAGAATTATTTTTGAAAGTTTGCTAGGTTTTGTTTTTGTTTTTTAGAAAAACCAGATCTAAATGAAAGAAAAAATAGAAAATAAATTTTAGAAGATTTCTAAGGATGCATTTGTGTTTTTAGATACCGGTTCCTTATTATAAGAATAGATTATTGGTCATCTTTTTTCCTTGATATGAATTTTCACTGTTCTCAAACGTAACAATGAGTGAGGTCATCAGGTGTTTACAAATGAGAAGAAAAGCAAAGCAAAGAGATTCTCCCAAATCACTGAGCAAAAAACGAAGGGAGAAGGTCGAGAAAGGAAGTAGGGAGTAAAAGGCAATGAATGAACTGGACAGAGAAGGCACTCCTTTCTCGGGCAGCTGGACTGGTAACACTGCACGCAGACCCCAGCCTGCAGCAGGCAGTAATTGCAAGCCCCGCTGCACCTGCCGCCCCTCGCCTTCCTCTGCACACATCCAAGATGGTGCCGGGTGAAGCAGCCGCACAGCTCCGGGCTCCCTCCCCGAGCCGCGCGGGCGCGGGCGCGCAGGCGCGGCGCGACCTCCCTCCCGCCCTCGGCGGACCGCGCCTGCGCCGTGGGGAGCCGCCGGCGGCGAGGCTCTGGGCGGCCGCAGTCTCAGTCTGAAGGCGGCCGCGGCGGCAGTCTTGAGTAAGATGAGGCTTCTGCTGCTTCTCCTGGTGGCGGCGTCGGCGGTGGCCCGGAGCGAGGCCTCGGCCAACCTGGGCGGCGTGCCCAGCAAGAGGTTAAAGATGCAGTACGCTACGGGGCCGCTGCTCAAGTTCCAGATTTGGTGAGTGGTGCGCCGGCCCTGACGTCGCGTTTTACGCGAGGCCCCGGCTTCGCGGCCTAGACGCCGCGTCTCCGCTGCGTCTTCCCGGCGCCCCTCCGCAGTGGGCCCCTGGTGGGCCGCCGCGGCCGCGCTCGGGTCTCGGGTACAACCGCTCGTTTGCCTTCTGCCGGCTGGGAAGGCGGGACGGGGCGGGAGGGCGCGAGAAGGGTGGACGCTGCGGGCGCGGACGAGGGCCGCTGGCGGCGTCACGCGGAGCCCACGCCGGCGCTCAGCGCAGCGGGTGCGGCTCGTCGCCCGCCGGGGCCGACCCGGAGCGCCGGGCCTCTGTAACCGCGGCGGCCCTGGGTGGGAGCCGTTGCTCGAGCGGCGGGACTGTTCGCCCTGCCGCGGTGGTACACCGGCGGCCCGGGTTGCGGGCGGCGGCTGGGTCGCAAGGTGGGGACCGCCACGCGCCCGCGGAGCCCTAGCCTTTGGAATGTCGGCGTTGCCCCGGTTCGTCCCAAATCGCTTCCCAGCCCCTTGGGTCGGCCCCCGAGTCCGGTGCCGCGCCTTCCACCTGCGTTTGGCCTCATCATTGAAAACCAAGGATTTTTTTTTTTTTTTTTTAAGTTTGTGACATTTGAACCAGAGTCAAAATAAGATGGTGAAACTATTTTTGGAATGAAAACTGTTATTTATTTCTGGTTACAAGAATCACAGAAAAGAACTTTATGGTTAATTGTGTGTCTGGAATATGTCATGTTTCATATAATAACTAAGAAATGACAGTAGGGTCTGAGGGTGTGTGCGCGTCCTGGAGAGCCAACCAGGACCTAGCCATGCGGAGCACACACACTACTGTTTTTTTGTTTTTTTTTAATTAGAAAGTGGTGATCATTTTAAACAACCTAAAAGATTGTTAAGGATTAAGTGTGAAAGTGGTTTTAAAAAGAGTGCTCTTTTCTAGTTATATTTTTCTATATTCTACTGTCCTATTTCTTGCTTGTGCTTTTGCCTTTTCAAAATACTCTTTTAGATTTTCATGCACTGGAATTCTTGTTACAGTTTAAGGTGTACCTTCTACTGAAGTTATTCATAACAAGGTTTTCAAAATATGTAAGCAAAATATAGGGCAGGGCACACAGGACTTCATATGAGGTTTTTTTGGTTGGTTATTTTTGTCGTACTAAGGATTGAACCCAGGGCCTTGTATACCACTATACCACTGAGCTACATGCCCAGCCCTTTTTCAGTTTAATAGGTGGTCTCCTTCAATGGCTCCGGTTGGCCTTGGACTTGTTTTTCTCCTTTCCTCAGCCTTCTGAGTATGTGTATAACCATGAAGGGGTGCTCATTGAGCTTTTTAAAAAATTCATAACTTGATATCTAGATGCTTAACTTTTTAAAAATTTTGTTTTAAATATGACTTGTTTCTGAAGTCTACAGAGTTTCATTTGCAGTCATTCTGAATATGTTACATAACAAAAGTGCTTTCATTTTTGGGGGGGGGGGAGGAGGGGTAGTGGAGATTGAACTCAGGGTGCTCCACTGAGCCACATCCCCAACCCTGTTTTGTATTTTATTTCCAGACTGGATCTCACTGAGTTGCTTAGCGTCCTACTTTTTTTTTTTGCTGAGGTTGACTTTGAACTCTGATCCTCCTGCCTCAGCCTCCTGAGCCACAGATTACAGGCGTGTGCCCCTATGCCCTGCTTCCATTTTTTTTTTTTTTTTTTAAATATACACATGGGAAGTAACTTGTATTATGTCCTACTAAATAGAGATAAATTTAGCTGCTTGTTTGTTGCTTTTCCCCTGCAGAGATTAATCTGTTTGTAATAAAGTGAATATTAAGTTTCTGGTTTTGTTAGATTCTTGAACATTCATTTGCAAGTTTGGGAAAGGAGAGGAAGCTAATGTCGTTCAGGATAAAATGCATGAAAAATGAAATTTCGTTTGAAATCTCAATGCTATGAAATGAGGTTTTTCTTAACATTTATGAAAGCACTACTTTTACTTTCAATTGATTTACTTTGCTCTGTGTTTTGAATTTATTAGATGTAGTTTTTGCTAAATAACTGTAGTTCAACATATCTGGTAATTACACCATTTTTATAATTGTTAGAATGAAATAGCAGTACAGCACACAATGGAATCAAATTGGGGAGAGGTCAGGCTTGTGACAGCATTTCCTACTCTGTGTTCATATATACTTTTTGAATAAATTTATTAGTACTCAAAGATTTCCTGGTGAATGAGACAGGTGTGATACCTCATAAAGTTTGCAAAAATGGTTCAGTATTATTCTTTGTATCTGAGTCTTTGGCTTTTTTGTTGGTTGTTTGAACGATAGAATTTGGTAATTTTGAAGACATTGATTTTATATTTGTGAAAAATTTGTTCTGGTTATTTAGGTTACTAAGCATTGAAAGGAAGTTCTTGCCCAGCACAGTGGTCACCTGTAATCTCAGCTACTTAGAAGGCTGTCTCAGGAGGATTGCAAATTTAAGGCCAGCTTGGGCAGTCCTATCCCAAAATAAAATAAAAAGGGCTAGGGATGTAGCTCAGTGGTCATGCACATGCCTTGCATGTGTGAGGCCCACCGAAGCACCACACTTGCATAAAAACCTTCTCTAATGGAGCTTACAGTTCCCTTGTTAACTTTGTTTGCTTTGCATTTTATGTGTGTATTCAAAGAGATGATATTTGGCATATGTTTATTTTTTTCCATGTATATGATTTAACATGTAATCAAATCTGTAGTTGCTGCAGTTTAAAAAGATTACTGACTACAACCTTTACAGTTGATGTTTACTTGAACATTTGACAGTTGGATTACTACTGAGAAAAGTAGGTTAAATGAAGTTAAGATTTCAAAACATAAGCAGAATATGGCAGAATTGTCAAATTTTGTTAATTACCCACTGCTGTAATTGTAGGACATCCAAGTTCTAGCTGCAGTTTAGGTGGTATGAGAGTAATCTAGTTGGGATCAGGAAGCAAATTTTAAACTGGGATTCAAGTGATAAGATTTATTTGGAATGAGCTTTATAGGTAATGGGAATACTGGACAGTGGCAGGAAAGAACAGAGTTTACATGAGAAGCCCAGCCGACTTCAAAGAGCAAGAGGCATAGGACTTTGAGTGTCTGTCAGGCCCTGTGTAAGAGAGACCAGCTAGCTTCATTATGGGAAGGCACGGAGTGGGGCTTCTGGAGTTGTCCATGGAAGAGATGATGGAGCTTGGGTTAGGGAGCTGGTCTGGGGAATGCATAGAGGTTTGAGAGCTCTCTGAGAGATAAATTTAGCAGCTGTGGGTGATGAATTACAATTGGTCCTCTGTAACTGTGGGCTGCATATCTATGGATTCAGCCAACCTTGGATCAAAAATATCTGAGGGGGAAAAGTGGCATGTGTACTGAACACAAACACAAGTTTTTCTTGTCATCATGCCCTACAGCACAACTATTAACAGCATTGATACTTTTAGGTACTGTAAGTCATCTAGAGGTGACTCAAAGTATACAGGGGGTTGTGGGTAGTTGTATGCAAATACACTGTTTTATATAAGAGACTTGCACATATGCAGATTTTTGGTATTGGGGGGCAAGTCTTGGAACCAATCCCCCCCACCCCCCAAGGATATTGGAGAGATGTCCTGAAGTGAGAACTGTCCAAGATGATTTCTTTGGCGATGATGCTATGCCATTCCCCAGAATGAAGACAAAAGTTTTTTGGTGAGAAGGAAGAGAAGGAGTCTTGATTTATTTTTATCTACTTATTTCTTAACGTGCTGAGGATTGCACCTAGTAGACAAGTCTCACATTCCCAATCCTTTTTATAATTGTTTTATTTTAAGAGAGGGTCTTGCTCAGTAGCTCAGGTTGGCCTCAAGATTGAATCCCCCTTGCCTTAGCCTCCCTAGTAGCTGGGATTATAGCTGTGCTCCACTGTACCTGGGTTTGGAATCCTGAACTTTGAAAACGTAATAGTCAGAACAAAAACTCCATAAAGAAATGTTAATCATTCCAGAATACCTGTAGTAACAAACTAGAAAAGTTAAGTTAGCAGATGCTGTATTTCGCCAAACCAAAGATACAATGGATTGTTGGATGCACTATTATTTTATATATCATTTAGAAAGAAAATATACTACCATTTATGTCACAGTAATGGTCATAAGATAAATCCTGTGGGTTTTAATTTTGTTTCTTTTTTTTTTTTATGATGGTAACTATAGGAAAATATGCATCTTGGAATCAAATAACAGCAGACTATTATTTGTGGTAGAATGTCAGAGAAAAAAATGGTAATGGCTACACCTATTGATGGTTTAGATTTTTAAAATTTTATAAAGTTTATATGGAATTTATAATTTTGTTTGCTTTGAATTTTTTGCCTTTTTTTTTTTTTTACAGAACAGAAAGCTGCAACATCTAATTGTGCACATAATATTTGTCTCTCCTTAATAATGAATGAAGTGCTTAGTTCAAAGCTTTTAGATGTAGGTAAAATATGACTGAATGATTTTAAAGTTTCATATTCTATTACAGAAAATTGAAACATCATTTTCTTACAGTTTGCCATTAGATGACTGTTAGAAAATCAAGTCAAATGTATCATGTAAAAATTCAGGATAGGGCTGGGGTTGTGGCTCAGTGGTAGAGCACTTGCCTCACACATATGAGGCACTGGGTTGGATCCTCAGCACCAATAAAAAAAATAAATAAGCAAAATAAAGTTACTGTGTCCGTCTACAACTAAAAATATATTTTTTTAATCCAGGATATCCCTATAATTTTGACTATCTTGAACAGGAACCGCTCATTTTCTGGACTAGCAGTTTGGAGACCAGGTTCTTATTCTGTCTAACCCTTATGCTCTGAGTAATGTTTGGTAAATGAGTCATCTCATCAGCACTCAGCTTGTTCATCTGTATAATGAGAGAATGTTGGTTGCTTTCCATTTACCTCTGATATTCTATGTTGTACTGTTAGAAGACTTAAAGGAAGAAAGTGAAAG